GGTAGTTGTCCTAGAACAGTCGCCAATGATCAAACCTGAAGCAGCTAAAAAGCCCTTATGCACGGTTGTTTGAGTCTCAAAACATTTGCCGACATAATCGCATTGAATTTGTGAAATGAAAAAGAAAAGGTGACAATGTCAAATCAATGTCAAATCAATGTCAAATGCTCGTTTACACAAACAATTTATGATATTTTCTGTGTTATGATCACACAATATTGAATGTCTTTTTCATGACAGTCTACTGTTAATATATTTGGTAGTTTATCATCAATTTTTCTTTCTTTCGAGACAAAAAATGTAGGTACCTGACACATTTTAAGCATGTGAAATGATGCAATGAACAAGTGAACAAAGAGATCTTAGATCTAAAAAATGCACCCATTTCTTTCTTATAAGTGCGACTTTTCAGGTGCAAGAGGTATGAGAAATACCCATTTTCAGCTCTGACAAGTGCCCTTCTGAATATAATAAGTTCCACTCGTTACTTTTGATTTATTTGCCCTTTGATAAATACCCCCACTTAAAAAAAAAAAAAAAAAATTCCCACTGTCGCTTACAAATTGTGCTCATTTGCGATCATCAAAAGAGCCATATCTAGTTTCAGAGAATCGAAGCAGGTTTTTGTATAGTAACAGGTACCCTATTTCTAAGACCATGAAAGGAAACAGCCGAGGGGCAGGGGTATAATGCCTAAATATTATATAACCGAGTTGAGCCCCTTTTAGAAATTCAACCGTGTTCGTTTTCGAAGCTATCTAATGTTCCCTTTATAGATATGTACAATAGGTTTGCCCTTATCACACTAAAACGTTTGCCCCTTTAAAGTACCATGAAATATTCTATTCAACTGCTAAAACACGTACTTTCCTACCTAGTATCCTTTAAACCTCATGCCCTTTTGAACTTCTTAGATCGAATGCCAAGTTAATCAATTGCTCTTTGTTCAGGAATATAAAGTAGGTGCCCCTTTTTCCAGAGAGTGCCCCCCCTTTTTTTTTTACTGCTGCACCCCCGCTTTGAGAGACGCTTCGCTGCCCCTGGATCTCCAGCCTAGCACCAACTCCATCCAGCCTAGCACCAAATATCTTATGTACATGACTGTGTACATGAAATCTGGTTATAACAACTAAAATCAAAGCATGTAATATAATCACTTCTTGTAATTACCATGTAGGCCTACATTTACAGAATTACAGTGAAAGGAATAAGTTGCTTGTAGATTTCTGAAGTCACATTATGACATCATCTGTAAACTGAAATTTGTTAAAGCGGAATCTGTTCTGTTTACATCCTGTGCCCTGTGGTCTATCTGTCGTTATTTTGGGTGATGTTATGACGTTGAGGAAAAGGGAGGAAGGAAATGAAAAGAAATGTCCCCTTTTGCTGGTGTGGAATCTGAGTTAGATCAGAATGATATTATTCATTATCGAACAACTTAACAAAATTAAATTTGCATTTTCCAAAATAAACCAGGAAACCTCGGTCTATATTAACTCAGAATAATATTACTAAACATGGTGCCTGGCTGGATAGTGGTTTCGTACCACAGCGAGCCCAGATTGAGCTCGCGAAGGAAACCAGCGCATGCGCACATGGAATCCGGTAGGGTGGTTAATAGGGTGATAGTAATTATACAAATCAATCTTTCATTAACCCATCGCTAACCCAATCGGTAAGGACAGCGTAATACTAATATAATTTTGGTTGACATGAGGGTTCAAATCTCTGTAATTATTCAGTTTGTTTGCCTTTATACATAGTAAGGCAAAGCAATAAATAATCAAAGTCTAATTGTTTGTGACCTCTTTGCAAGCTTTCGTAACTTGTTATATATGAAAATGAGTTCATACTAGAAATCTGGGCTCGCTGTGGTACAAACAAATAAGAATTTTATGGTGTAGGTTTTTTAAAGACTATATATATAGCCTTTACAATGTTTCATTAATGGGATATATTTCGAATCAAATCAGAATGAGTGATATTATCGAATAAATAACAATACAAGTTTTGCATTTTCCTAAATAAACCGAGAACCTCGGACTATAGATGCACAGAATGATACATGGTGCCAGGCCGGATTGGAGGTGGCGCTTACTCACTCAGTGGATTTATCTTGCACCAAATTAGGCTGATTGATGTTATCAAACGACTAAACAATTTGTATTTTCCTAAATAAACCAAGTGATCTTCGGTCTATTAATGCACAGAATATTAATTACTAAACATGGTGCCTTGCTAGATGTAGGTATATTTTTGACAGGGCACTTTACAATGTATAACATGATTAACAGGATTTATCTTGAATCAAATAACATTCGTGGTGTTATCGGGGAAAAAAGGATGGGTTTGGTATCTTTAAAATACAAACGGAAACCTCTTTCAACGATACACCCAATGGTATTTAAAAATACTGGGTGTAAAAAAAACCTGACACTTTTGATCTGTAATAACTTTTTAATTGGTAGGCTTAGGTTTTACTTGCATATTTCGGAAATCCTGGTAGCTGGTACCCAAGGAGTGTAGATTTTGACTGGCAATAAATTGATGGCAGAACTTTTATTCACGTTTCCATTACTTTGAATTACCCTGTCGCTCATATAATTGGAATATTTTTTTTTTACCCCAATTTTACGGAATTATTTTGACAATGATTTATTCCTAATAGATCTAGATAATGGTATACATTCTCAGATTTTATTGAATAATAATTTGCCAGTGTTTGCTTTGCGTGACTACTAAAGAATGTGTATGCTACTATGCTTATAAACTAGGGGACCTACGCCCTTAAGTCATAAATGACAGTAATGAGGGTTAATGCCACACAAAAGGGCACTAATATGGCACATCGACACGGTTTTGATCCTGGGGCCTCACAGTTACGAGGCCATTGCTTTGCCACTGAACCATGACTGTACGCAGCGTGGGCTCGGATAGGGGGCAGTTCGCACAAATATAAAAAACAAAAACAAAGAAAATGCAATAAATTATCAATAATTCATTGCATTTTGACCCCAGTCCCCAACATAAAAAAATCCTCTGTAAGGCCATGCATTATGGCTCAAGGCATGGGCACACAAAATATTTGTTTATGATTGGCTAGAATGCATTACATTTGGAATAAAAGTAATTGAGAGTTTCAATTACTTTTATTTTTTTTTCTTCTCCGTTTCACGTTGAATTCAAAATAACAAACACACCAGCGAAACAAACAAGCGAAACAAACTATGATTAGTAGTAGAGCACATTTAGTGAGCACATTTTTTTTCCACGAAAAAATTAAAAATGTGCACCCCCTCCCCCTTGAGCGTCAGGGTGGGGGGGGGGGGGGTCCAACCCCCCCCCAAACGGTAAAAATCACGTGTTTTTACATGGTTTTTTTCTCAAGGGGGGGGGGGGGGGCAGGCCCCCCCCCCCCCCCCCCCCCCCCCCCCCCCCCCCCCCCCCCCCCCCCCCCCCCCCCCCCCCCCTGGATCCGCCACTGGTATATACATGTACATGTTCCAATGTCTAAAATAGGTATATTCTCACTTCGAGGTCTCCCTTTGTAGGTGCCCTTTTTTATCCAGCAAAACGTACGAGTAAATATTGCAGAAAATCTGTATTCTGTTGGTATCACCGTGATACCCACGGAATACAGAGTTTCCCTCGCATTACACCCCCTCCCTGGTCATGAAAATAAATCGCCGCCCCTAAATATAACTAATGAAAATTATTCATTTTTCACGCAGATAAGAAGGGAGAGTACACGACAACCCAGATACACGATTGACTTGCCAATGAACGGAGCTGGCGCTATTGCGTTAGTCCATTCAGAGCCATCTTTTGACTGTTCTGCTTTCTTTTTCGTTTAATTCTCTCGTGTTTTCATACGGAGGTACCGGTATGCATTTTTTCAGAGAAAAAAAAACACAATCCATATGACTGACGATCATATCGTATATTGTTCGTTTGGAGGTATTAGACTAATATCATTTGTTTTTATTTTTGAATCATTTTTCTGATATATTGAACATTTTAGTTTTGCTAATTAGGTTGATGAAGTAAACAAATATTTTTATTTTTATTTTTTACATTGATATATTATTACATCGTGCTGAATATCAAACTCACTGGAGAGCACTGTACACACTCATATGCTTATGGGATCACACAAAGATGTGTGAAAGTGAGTTAATCAGTCATTAATATTGATGTAAAAAATATGGGAACATTTATTTTCAATAATAAATTCGCCTGCATTGCTATTATATAACGGGATAGACCTTGGATGAGATCTCTAAATATCATCATGTGTACCTTTTGACAATACACTCGATATTTAATATCCAGCCGTGGAGGATATGGGGGGGGGGGTGGCTGGAGTTCGGTCGTAGGTCTCACACTCTCAATATTACTTCCTGATGTAAAGTACAAATGAAAAGTTTATTATAGTGATATATTTGAATACGCATTCTGTTTGAAGTTGTACCACGAATGTATTTAATACACATTCTTTATAAAAAGTGGTCAAATTAACCTAAACAAATAGATTTTGCAATACTGTAGACTTGAGTCGTCGTAAGAACATACAATTTAAATGACAAAATCAAAATGCGGTGTGGCTCAATGTGAACACGGATATTTGAGTGAAAGGAGAATTGTGAAAAAATATACACATGATCAACCGTTCCATGATTTACTTTATAATGTTATTTAAGTTTCTCGATAATAAACTATACACCCCTTACAAACAAAATTCAGAGAATGTATGCAAGAAAAACTGGTGGTTGAAAATGTCATTATTGGTGACATACTGAGAATGAAGAATATAATGAGATGGAAAACCTTTTAAAAATTCGGTTTTTCAAAATCACGGCCATGAGCACGCGCTCAATAATGAAGCCATGTACCGCCGTCGATTCCAATACCACGGACCACGCCCCTCTATTACCCCTACAAAACTTTTGACAACTCCTCATGTACATGTGTTCGCCGCATCAAGTCACCTCACTGTACAAAACAAACAGCGGTCGATTGAACACACACAAGAATACACACAGCGGGAGTTGGTGCTTTTATGCGCGGGCTAACCGAAAGTAGAGTCATACTCGAACAGTACTGCAGACGGCAATAGCGATCGCGAACAAGTACATGTACGAGCGATCACCACCAATTTGAGGACTATATTTTGACATCAATCGAAAAACTTGTCTGAATGTCAACAAGTTCCAGTTAATTTTGAACATTCAGCAGGGGTAGAGGAGATATTTGCTTTAATTTGGGATTAAAGCAGAAACTTAAGACTGTGTTTAGACCCGAAAAGATGATATCGAGAAGAGGACAGGGAGAGGCCGAGAAGTTTTAGTCAACAGGTTGGTCTGGACTTGCGTCCAAATTAGTCACTCATTTCAGAATTTATGTGTCTTGGAATGGCTCTTGAAAGTTTAGCATTAATAAGATAAATGAAAATTTATCGTAAATGTGTTAAACTATTACGCTTGCACGATCTACCCTTTTATTTCTTCAATTCTGAAGTTGTACAGTTACGATACTAGTAAAGTGTTGTTCTAGCTCGAGCTTGTTTTGTGCCTGTACAGTCGGGTTGGGATCAATGTGTTTAGAGCCTGTGCACTCAAGCGTTTTGAGCCAATATAAATGGAGTCGTCTGCTATCAAACATTGTTTGAGAGATAAAAAGGAACATGGTTGTAAAGAAATAATTACCAGGCAAATGCATCGGGAGTATATACAATACTACATGTGTAACCAGAGAATTGTCTAATTTTATTGTTATTTAGTTTAGGTCTAATTATAAATGGTGTTAAATGGGCTTAATTGGGCAGTGGTAGTTGGAATCTACCCCTACTGTGCAGTGATATGGTTAGTTTAGTTGTTTTCATTATTTAGTATTCACCTGAGGTGGACTGTACGTTGAACTGGAAGAAGGATAATAAGAGGAAGGAGAAGAAGAAGAAGAAGAAAAAGAAGGAGGTGGAGGAGGAGGAGGAGGAGGAGGAGGAGGAGGAGGAGGAGGCGAAGCTTGTTTCAAATCTTCATGTTATTTTCTTGTTATTCTTACTGTATTGTGATAAATAATACCTTCAAATTAACAATACATGTACATCAATCTTGTAAAATGTTAGAAAAGACACATTTGACAGACTGAGGCATGACGGATGTTTATTTTATAGTATTCAGCAAAAAAAAACAAAAAAAAGGGGGAAAAAAAAGGAAAATGCATAAGAAAAAGCTGTCAATATCCTTAGCCCAGAAGCTACATGTACCCTACTCCAGTTTCCTTACAAGCTGGAAATTCTAGACCAATTCAATAAAAAAAAAAAAAAAATTCTGCCAAATTGATCCTGATATTTCTTTAATCCTCTTATCAAATACCTTGTCTTAATTCTGATAAGAAAACAAAAAGATTGTCACATTATTTATCTTCACTCACTAAGAATGTACCATGCATGCTTCTTCTTTAGAGGGTGCATTCAGACCATGGACATACTACTGACATATAGTAGGTCCATGTTCATACGTGTACCAAACTATGTATAATAGTAATTAACTATGAAAATATGTATAATTCACTACTACAACATGAAATCAAATTCTTTTTTTTTTAAATTTTGAAGTAAATATACACACAATGACTGTAGGTGAAATTTTAGCCTCTGATCAATTTCAATATTGTAACTCACTCATTGGCATTGATATCGCGTAAATCAGAGCACATAACTCCAATATTGAACTCACTACATTGGCTTAAAATTCACCACCGCATATCCTTCAAAATTCTTCTCCTGTGCTACAAAGCTATCAATGGCTTAGCCCCCTCTTACCTTTCCGATCTCATATCCTTACGTTCCCGTACGTCGTCACGAACACTTCGTTCATCTTCCACATTACTGTTAACACCTGGACCCCGCACTAACACCCGGTATGGTGACCGCGCCTTTTCAGTTATTGCCCCCGCTCTCTGGAACAAACTGCCCGCCTTTATTCACTGCGCCCCCTCTGTATCTCAATTCAAATCTCTACTCAAAACCTATCTTTTCAAATTGTAAATTGCAGTTGTGCGTCGGTCAATTGAGGTGCGCACCATATTTGTCTTTATTTAGTTGATTGCCACTGTTTTTCTTACCTTATCTATGTTACTTTTGTATTTTTGCTTTTTCTTCTAATTTAATTCTACGGGTTATAGTCTTCTCTTAATCAGAACACTGTGCGCTTAGAAACATCAGTATTAAGCGCCTAATAAATGTTATGTATTATTATTATTATTATTATTATTATTATTATATTTTAATATTTGTTAATGCTTATTCCCTCTTATATCTTTGAAAGTGGATGCAATGTTGTTAAAATTAAAGAGAAAATAAATGTTATACTGTATGTACTTGTATGTTGCAGACATTCAATAAAAGTTAGACTTTGTACAGTGTAGAGAATTTCCTCCCAATGGATGTTTTAAACCATGTCAAAAGAAGCATTGCTACAGTATACATGTATGTCAAAGGGATTATATGCAAAGTGGGAACATGCCTATAGACCACTCCTTTACCATTGATTTGTGTATTAAAGGGATTGCTTCTGTGTACTATCTTCCAATTAGCTTCATTAACAGACATTTGATGAGTTCTTCATTTCTCTGTCTAACCTTTCAGAGAACAAGATGGCAAGTCGTCGGTCTCGTGGAGACCGCTACTCGTCTAGCGTCAGTGCCATGTCGGGCGTTTCGTCTAACGGATCGGCCGGCACCTTGGATTACTCTTTGAACCTCGCTAGCTCACTCTCTCCTGGAAGTAGCATATCATTCCTCGGCAAAAGTAAGTTTTAGACAAAATGGAGGACCATTTATGTAAACTGTAAATTTTGATTAAAAAGTGCATTGGAGTGTTTGCTGTCATAATGTCCCAACGCCATTCAGGTATATGCAAATGAATGGAAGCCAATGTGGCAATGTGCATAGATCAAACATTATGTCTGTCCGACTCTGAAGATTTAAGTCAAGTACTGTTTTTAAATGTTTTTTTTTTTATAAAATCTTAGATCTATAATTCTGTGTATTACTTGCCATCTAAACTTACCTTACTTTCAACAGTGAGGAAGCTGTTTTGACAGCTTTTTAGAAAGGACTTTGACATTGTTTTGTAACTTTTCCTGTACTTTTGGAAGCAAAATGAATTAAACTTTTGCTCGTTTCATGAGATGGAGGTTGGGTTTGATGGTGACTTGCAGTCTGTAAGGTGCTATTATCCAGCATGCCTAAGGGAAACCAAATGTGCCAGTATAAAAGTAGACACATCTAAATTTGTGTTTTTTAAACCTAAAGGCAGGGCCTACATGTACATGTATATCTGAGGTTCTCAACATGCATGATTATAAAGTAACAAAATAAACAAAATTTCCATTTCCTCTGAATTTCATGGACAAACCTTTTCATCAAAGGAAATTATTATACCAATTGTGTTAGTTCTAGGTACATGTAGTATGTAAGAAATTTTATTTTCAGGTGCAAAAGTACATCTCGATAGGGCTACAGGTATATAAGAAACTTCAAAGAACAAAATGACACTCAAAAAATATTTACACATGTTAGAAATAAACTGAAATGTTTTATGTGCTTTAACCTTAAAATTGAGGTATATAGATTGTGATACAATAAGACAGGCCCATGAAAAGATTGCTTGGTCAGTAAAACTCAGCTGGGGCTATGCCAGGCAAGGCTTGTGTTGCATGGAATTAAGATAAATCTGCACAAAATTTGAATATTTGTAAAATGATTCATTACAGTGGAGTATTTCTATGTCTTTGCCTTTGTAGTAAGCATGTATTTATTCCATGTTGTTTAGGTGTGGTTATTATCAGGAGAACTCTGTCACTCATTAACTTAGTGAGTTGTTTGTATTTAATCTCCTACCTTATCCCAGATTTAGTCCTGTTCGTGTATAGGCCTATATCTAGGCATGTTGTGGATCCCTGCAAGTATGCAAACATGACTCAATATATGATGCATGCTTGATTGAGAGACTCAAGTGGTTCATTACAATTATATGCCAAGCATTGTACAAGTACATGAACAAGCATTTATCACAATAGAAATTGTGAAAGGTTATAAAAAAAATTATTTTGATTTTTTTTCACCTAATATCAAATGTAAGAGTTCCACATAAGATACTATTGATGCTGTATTACGTATATTGTGTATATGTAATGTTCATATTCAGGTCTACTGTAGAATTTTTTAAGCATTTAAATTCCTGGAGAGAACAATAACTCTAATACTAATTCAAATAATGATTGCAATACACATGTTAGAAGAACAATGATGGTGAATTGTGAGCCTACAACTTTTGAAAAATCTCTGTAGCCACCATGTAGGGCAGGGTTGAACTTGATATGCCTGTTGCTGTGTGCAGTGTGCATATCTATAACTCAAAGAGATTCCATCCTTTAAATTTGAATCATCCCATGGATTGAGGTCCATTTACCCTACTACTGCTCCTGACATTTCACTGCATACTGACTGTTTATTATTAGGTAGCTTTGTAGGTCTGAAATAATTATTTATAAGGTATGTTTCTTTGAAGCAAACAGTAGTTCATGTGGGATACAACTGATGCTTACAGATATCGTCCTTGTTTTCACGAAGTGACGGTAGTGAGGAAAATCGTCACGCAAAGTGAATGCAATTTTTTTTCACTACCGTCACTTCGTGAAAACAGCGACGATATGATGCAAGGTAATTAGAGGAAAGAATTAGGCTTAGCTAAGAAATACGTTCAGAGTTACAGAAAGTTGAAGGGCTAAAAGCAGACAATGAAAATGGATGGTTGAGGACTTATAGAATGACTGGCAGGAGTGATAGATGATAGGATTGAGAGGAAGAGTTAGAGTTCAACAGAGAATGCAAGAGACCGAAAAAGAGAGACAGAGAGAGAGAGGGAGAGGGAGGGGGTAGAAGAGGGGATGGAGAAAATGGGAGAAGGAGAGAGAGAGGGGGGAAGGATGGAGAATATGGGAGAGAGAGAGGGAGAGGGGGGGGGGGGTGGAGAAAATGGGAAAGAGAGAGAGAGATAAAGATGAACTGGGAGAGAGAAATATCCAGACGATGCACATGCAATGAGATTGGATCCTTCCTATCATATGAAGATGTAAACGAACTGGAAGTAAGACTATACAGTTTACATGAACTGTACATAATACTTGTCATGTCGACATCTCCCTATCTCTCATCCTACATCATCCGTCCGCATCTTATCACCTTACACAAGAAAGCATCTCTACGGGCTCATCATCATCATCATCGTCTGGACCGCCCGCTGTTAACCGAGACCGTCTGTGTCTCCATTTCAGTGCCATCTTCTTCTCGTAGTTCCATCTTGATTGCAGTTGTTGGCGCTTGGTTTTCTTGGAGGTCCTGCTGTCACAGGAAGACAGGCGTTTTGGGAATAAGAGTGTTTTGTCTTGGGGATGAGGTGTCCGACGCCTTTCTGCTTTCTCTCTGTACTTGACCCCCTGGAGTTAAATGAGCAGTTGATTACAGCCAGTGCCTGTTTCTTCACCGAGGAACCCTGGACTTGGAGGATGAAATCAATATCTGTTTCCCCACCATGTTCTTCTTTGATTTCTTTCTTTCTGGAATTTCCCTGCTGAGGGATTAATCTTGCTATTAATGATTTGGTTTATCTCAGTGTTTCTGTCCATCCATATCCAGTCCATCGGGTTTCCAGCATAGAGGAATGATAACTTACTAATGGACTAGATCACCTTGAGGTGGTGTAGTAATTGACTGATCACTGAGATGGTGACAAATCAATGTCATAAATCATAGCAATTACTTCTAGACACTTTGCTTCATGTGTACTTTGGCTATTAAAGCTGTGTCCCATCTCTCCTATTTCATTATCTTCTTTATCTCATCCCACCCTTTAAGTAACCCAGAAGATGGAAACTTAAACTGGATATGAAATGTTGTCAAACTTTAACATAATGTTATCTTTCAGTTTGTCAAGTGTACATGTATTACAATGGAAATAACAGACCGGTATGAGCTGTCCATACTGAACATTCATTGGTGGAATGTGCAAGGGCAACTTTAAACTGTATTGATTAACTCAGAAATCTTCCAAGGCCCTTCATTGAGGAGGATAAGGGAGAGGAGAAATGGCGATGTATGGCTGGTCTAGATCAACATCACAATGTCTTGGCATGAAGCTCCCAGGTATTATTCTCTACACATGAGATTTTCTGAAATATATTGACTTGAGTGATTAAAATATTTCATTCTATCTGTCATAGCCCAAATGAATGAGTACATTTACATTTCAATTTCATTTTCACTTCACTTAACTATGTGTACCTCTATCATTTTACTTTGTTGTGGTTTTAACAAATAAAAAGTTTTAAGTTCATCTATAATACGATAGGACAAATTTAATACTATAATTTGTTGTCAATGCATTACAATAAATTTGCAGAGCTACATTGACTACATGTAATGACTGATGGCAGCCGAAATACTTGTGTTGCTGTGTAAAAGATTATCAGAGTGTTTTAAAATCTGATATGAAACACCTTTCTTTCTCTTTCTGACATAGAGTTCGTAAACATGACTTTGTGATGTCAATTTATGTTTTGAAAAACAGTAGCTGGATATGAACCCACTTTGCTAAATTTATCTGTTAAACTTTAAAGATGTTTTGTTGTTGTTAAATACAAATTCCTGTTCACCTGTGCATGCATATTGAATTGATAGAATGTGGGTCAAAGGAGGATATTCAATTGTAATGTGTAATTTGTAATTCCTCAAACAATCGTGAGAACCAACAAAGTTAAACTGTCCCAAGTTGTGTCAAGTAAAAACAACAATGAAAATATTGAAATAGGAAATGTGATAAATCAGCATGTACGCATTTGTACAGGAGAGGAAATAATATGCCACTATGTTTAGCTACCAGTGTCAGAGCAAACCTGTTAAGATGAATTGTTTGAACAGTAATTGTTACATTGAAAATTGATTAATGATAAACTTTCTTTTAGTCTTTTCTTTTTGTGTACAATGAACATTTTTGCTCATTTTTGGTAAGTTCAACCTTCAACAGCTGCATCCAAATTATTTAAGATGACTTCTACTTTTTGCTGGAAATTTGAACTATATTATTTGAAAAAAAAGAAGGAGATGGGATGCATCTTATACTTTGTTGTGCACAAATTCAAGCACTAAAGATTCGGTGCATTATCAAATCTATCAGTAAGAAACTGAAATTAAAATGTTAAATATTAGAATATATTCAAGTCTATAATGATGCTCACTCAGATCTACTTTCATTATGTACTTGTACATGTATTTCTTGACTACTTCAGATTCTAAAACGCCCCAACTCAATTAGCATACCAAGTTTGTCCTGCCTGTATGTGCTAATGGAATGCCAAGCACATAACAGTCTATACCTTGAGCAATGAACTCAGATTAGGCCTGGGCTGGGATGCGCTGCTGCGTGTCTGGATATAAAATTCTCCAATCCTCGTTCATCTTCTTGACATTTCAGATGTGAGATTTTTAAATGGGCCGATCGTGTCTCTTGGGTCTGCAGACAAGTGCATGGTCTTGTTAGGACCATAATTTGAATTGATGGTGGATGTTCCTTGGTAGCTATGTTATGAGGCCCAATGTGGGGCAATGGTTATAATAGATTTTTAATAGTCACTGAGTTGTCTTGATAGGTGAAGTTGTAAAAGAAAATGACATAAAAATTAAATAATCAATCCCACGATTTCATATATACTGTATTAATCCAATCAAAATGGTACGGCAGATTGGTAAAACACTTTATAGTATTGGAAATGTTGTCATGTAATTGGAATTAAAAAAAAAAAATTCTCTGTGAATATGTCAGGTTTGTTGCACGTCCCCCCCCCCCCCCAATGCTTATTTGGTAGTCAACAATCTTGTAGGAGGCCTGCATATAGTGTAAAGTTATTTTAGAACTGAATTGATTTTAAAATTAAGAGATAAATGTGTTTTTCCACTCCAGCCTATAATAAACCCAGCTATTGTACTTGAAGCATAAGAATTTAAAAAACTGATATGTTTACTTTTGGTACCCTCTGACGTGAGTTGTGTATGTGAAGATGTCATTCTAATCTGTATGAATCGGTTTTTATATTTCCTCTCTCTCAATTTTCAGCTCCAGTGATGCAAGCTGCAGAGATCAAAGACTTGTTGAAGTCAAGGCTAGCATATTTGTCAGGTAAGACGCACTGGTGACCCGATTAAAGTTTGTCAGAAGTGTATCAGACAGGCAGATACGTGGGCAGATGTTTGTGAAAAAAAAATGACAGTTTATGATGTAGTCAGCTATGGAAAACTTTTTGTTTTGGGTGCCAAATAAATGACAAATGTATTAAGATCGGTATTGTGCTATTCATAGGATTGCTGCGTAATCCACTCACTCAAAAGAGGAGGAGGGGCCACAGGTGTGATAAAATGCTGGATGGGTTTTGTAAAATGGAAAATGCTGCTCAACCCTTTGCAAGGTTGACTTGGTCCTATTTAGGAATAAAATTCATGATGTATTGTGGTACTGTGCTAATCGATTTATAACAAATAAGGGAAGGATGAGAAGGGATAGGACATCCTAGCAGACCATCTGCCCACGAGACCAAAACTGTCTCTTAAATCCTCAGAAAATATGTTAGAATGTCTGAAGAAAAAAAACATGTTGGTTTCTTGAGCTGCCTGTCTGTCTATGGGACATCAGTCTTGTGAACAGTCAGACCAGGAAGATGGGAGGAAAAACTTTTCAGGGGGCTTGCGAAACAACCTTGGTCTTGTAGACATATCATACATGTACTAAACTTCATAGTAATGGGTTATGATACCGTTTGTTCAGAGCCGAGAAGGTCTTTAATTCTGTGTCAATGCCTTTTAGAGACCCTATCATCCGTTCGGAGCCAGAAGGATATTAACTCCTATTTGATAAAAAGAACCAACTTCCTTTGGCTCTCAGCAGAAGATTTTTACAGCCGACATGAACAGTTACTTTGAAGTTTGAACTGAAAATCTGATAGGTATCATCATCTTCCCTCACTCCTACCTATACTTGCTCTTGAGAGACCATACATCACTTGTATATTTACTCAGGTGTGACACATCACTCAGAATGAAAACAGGTCTAGCGCTCAAGTGTATACTTTGTATGTTTTAACGGAGGTGCAGCAAATCAAAGCTGGAAGTAATTCCAGTTGTTGGGAGATGAGGTGATCTTGTGTAAATGTGAGCCCTTTTATACCTTCCCAGTTCACACAAAGACTACATTTGTCCATGGTTCACTGTACACTGAATAAATTTGATATTCATACATGATCTTACAAATAAGGGATTTTATTGATTACTGTACAGATGATTTTATCATGGAAATTGAGTTAAATGCATTCAAGGTGTGTTATTTTATTGCTTCTATCCTAACCAACAAAGTTACAGGTACAATGAATGTGAACTTGCTTAGGGCTTTCATCAAGGGTGCACTGTACTAGGGTAATGGTTGCAATTAGATTTTACATTACCGGTAGGTTAGGGTTTGAATTATCATTTCACACTTTAGTCATTAGTGTAGTGTTTGGTCCAGGGTTAAAGGAAGGAATATTGCTAGCAGTAGTGTAGGACTTTGACCAATTGAGGAGTAATTTGTCAGAGCATATGATGTAGAATTAAAAGACATCATGTTATCAGCTGCCTCTTTCTCAAGGTGAAGTGTACATGGTTAAACAAAAGAAGATGTACACACAGATTGTAAGAGATTACATATAGTTATTACATATTGTTTTGCTACATGTAGTCTGCTTGTGAGTGGGTGTTTTATGAGTAACCTGACATATGATGTCTTCTGGAATGTATGCGTAGGTTCACTTCAGGGCTGGATTCATTGCAAGAGTGCATGCGTGGGTACAGCCAAGAGAGTTCTTAAACTTTGAAAGGATCCCTATTTTCAATAATTATTTGTTGACACTAAAATAAAATATGAGTCAGGCTTAGAAATACTTCAAGTAACAACCAAGCATACATGTATGGAATTTTATTTCCTCTGCCATACAAGATCTACAAAATACAAGTTGATGTCTGCTTATTTTTTCTTTTTTCTTCATGTAATACTAGCCAGTGTACATTCACATGGACACTGTATGGACATTATTACTTGTACTTGTATTTTAGAATATCTATTACAATTCACTGATTGTACATACATGTATGTTAATATATACTGTAGGTTTACATGTGGGATAATTAATTCTCCTTCCTTATCACATAACTGTCCCCAGTTTAGTTTTACTCATAGCTTTGTCAACAAAAGCCCTCTAAATCTGTTAAAAAGGGGGATTTGGTGAACAATAGCACAGCAAGAGTGTACATGGGACATGCATACCCTGAGCACTCTTTTGTTATGACGAGGACCCTACTCAAATAGCCTTAATCCTTTGTAATCTGGCCATATAAAGCAAGGCATTAACAATCACAGCTCAAGAAATAATAAGTAAGAGTGTAGGAAGGGGGGGGGGGGGGGAGGGTACGTTGACCCTCAAAGTCTGAATGACAAAAGAAAGAGCTTTGACGGTTTGACCTCAAGTTATATTGGAAGAAAGAAAGTGCTCTTTCTTCTCAGGTGTAAATTGTATTGTAGTGAGCACATGTTTCATGGCATGCTTGAAGAACCAACTACTATTTGTGTAACTTTCAACCTGCATTTCAATTTTGTTTTGGTTATTGTAACTCTCAGATTATTATGTTTCAAAAGAAAAATAAACCCACTAGATATTGAGAATTCCTAAAATAAAAAAAATTGAAGTCTACTATAATAATTTCCCCAAGTTTCTCCAGCTTATTTTGCACTTATTCTATCATAATCGGAATTAAGGACATTCTTAGGGAATTCTAAAGAATGTAACCTGTTACAGTGTAAGTCAAATGTTTATTTTCTTCTTTTAAAGTTTGTCTTCCATCCACATAGAGAATTACATGTATGTCATAAAATTGGTATAATTTTCTACTGATTTTATTCATAAATTTTGTTTGTCCTTTGCATTTCTTTTCTTGGTTATAATGCCCTTGGTGTTTAGGACTTATCATATGAGGTTTATTTTCAAATGCAAAAAGAAAATAAGAATAGAATAAAGACATTTCCTCCCAAACTAAATGAAAGAGTTAGAGGGTTAATAAAAAAAGTAGAATGAAAACAGACCAAATTGTCTCATAAAATACATTTTTTGAATGTGGAAATATATTGCTAAATCCTTAAGAAACATGTGTGTTGAATGCTCCTGACCTGAGCCTTGACTTATGCATTTAGAGCCCTGATATTTTCTTCTGTATGCAAACTCTGTACCAACATAATGTACTTCAATCTTTCATCCAATTTTATTCAAAAACTTGTTTATTTCTGTCATTGTTGATGAAGGCACGCCGTCCCATTGAATAGGAAGATAATGACATTCTTTTTGACAAAGGGTCTAGAGGTCATACTTTAGTCTCTTTCAATTCCGATTTTTGAATAGACTGGTATCAACAACAGTTCTGTCATGGATTGAACTTCTCTAGATGAAACGCTCTATAGGGCTAGGAAACAGTTCTAGGCCTGCCATCTGAAGAGAGACAGAAGGCTGTTAGCTCTATGTGTGTGTATGACTTAATGCCCTTCTGGCTCTGGCCAGGTGATCATTTTCATAAAGTTCAAACTGACATTAGAATTATTATTATCATTTTACCTAAAGAATTGCAGTCTAGCTCAAATTAATGGGTGCTCAGGCTACTGTGTGTCTGGAGCTACTGAAATAGCCATCATGGTCCTCCGTCTTTCCCAGTCTTCATCTTCTTTTGGACTAAGTTTTTGATGGATTTGCAGAGCCTGTTGAGGCGACAAAAAACAAGAATAGAAAACAATTTAGATCTAAAGTACCAAAATAGCCCTAAGAGTATAGTTACATTGCCCTTAAAGGTAAAGACCAGTTATGGTCATGCGATTGCATTGTGAAAGAAACGTTGTGGAATCGATCAGAAAAGGTTAATCATCTAGCATCTAGCATTTGCAAGGTTCTGGAATCATCAAAATGATAAGAAATTTGGCCCATTCTTCGTTAAGTTACAAGCACTATACACAGAAAGATGTATATGGGACTACCCTATATCTCCCACAGACCATGAGAGAAACAAATTTACCAAATATATGAATTAGTAGGCGGTTCCCCGGCAAATTTTTTATCATCATGTATTAGTCAAAACATATTCTTTCACATGATTGGTAATGAGAGCTTACATTTCATTTTTTGAAATTGGGGCGTTTCCAATACTGGTCTTTACCTTTAATATTTTGACGCAAACCCCCCTGGTTTATAGCACACTTTTACATCACGATGCCCCAACCCTTCTCAAATGGCAGCTTATAACTCCCCAAAGAAAAAAAGATTGTATTACCTGAATAAGCCACGTTTTTCTTGTCTCTTTGGTCTGGTTGTCATCACAACCGATCTCTTTTTTTCTGTGATCTATGTGATCTATTATGATCTCTTTAGTCTCTCTCTAGTGAAGTTATAACTCGTCTGAAAGAAAAGGGTTTTAAACTCTTCACCCTGTGTTTTGTTTGCCATATACAAAAGAAGTCAGTGAGTTGAGAAGTTTAAAAGGTTACATTTTAAAAGAACTTCCTAAAGGATTTTAAAAGGAAAAAAAAAAGTCAAAATGCCAAAATGCAAAACATAATGGCAATAACATGATGAAAATTGCAATGCTTAGAATCGAAAGTCTGAACAACATATATTAATATTTTAAATATTATTTATCAGTTATGAGGTTAGCAAGAAGAGATTGAACTTATGAACTTTTGCTTGATATTGCAATTTTACTTAGCAACAGCTTTCTTGTAAATTGTGTTAGACAAGAAATAAACACTGAAGTTGCTAGCCTTGTAAATTCTCTTTCTTTAGTTTGTTTTTCATCCACCAAGTTCAAAGTGCAAAGGGCATGCAGAATGCTACCAGCTGCTTGACTTTGTTTCATTTTGAGATAGAATTGTCATTGCAATAAACTTGAGATACCTTGAAAGCCAGATACTTTTGTTTTCACTGGAAATAATACCATGATTCTTCATCATGACATGTGTGCCGCTCTAATGGGTCCAATTTTTAACAAAAATATCCTTAAACATGGGTCCGCTTTTTCAAAATTTAAAAAAATGGGCTTTACTTTGAGAAAAATCCCCCAAATGACCCTTAAATATAGGTAGGGGTTTTGAGGCTTCAGCTGCACACCCCCGTCCAAACCAAATTTGAGTACCCCCTCCCCCCGGAATAGGCTACATTACATACATGTAGTGTACCATAAACTGGAAGTTATTAGTCGATGACAGAGAAAGCTATTCATTGTAATTTTTTATGTTTAATTTAATTAAAAAATATATAGGCTTTTAATTCAATAAGCTGTTTATGTTGTTGTTGAATTTATTACATTTTTACTTTAACTTCATTTTATATTTTTATCAAGAATATGTAAATTTACAGTGTATAAAGGTTTGGTCGATAAGTTTGATTGTAAGTTCAAGGGTATTTAATATTATTTATTTGTATTTAGTTAACAAGTGATATCACACTTACATGTACCTAAAGTTCATTTGGTATCTGGTATTTAATCAAGTCTACAATAAAATGAAAATGAAAAGTATGCAAATTCCCCCAAAAATGTGGAATGCATCTTGTGGGTGATGTGGTTTTTGGTTCAGTTCTTTCTGGTATTATGCCAGACCCCCTTTTTGCTGTCTGCTGATTATTGGATTGTGAATGAATTATGACGAAAGTCATTGTTGTGTATGATGAAGAATAGCAGATAAGTTCACAGTCAAATTGTTTTCATGATCTACTCCATCATGAAGCAAAAATATGTACAGGTGTTGATGGAGTGTTGGTCTATTTTAGGCTGAAGCAAAAACTGATAAAAAAACTGAAACAGAGTGAAATATAGACAGTTTGATCCCAGTCATACAGTACATGTACCACTACAAGGTACGATGCTGGCCATTCAGATCTTACGTGTATGAGCAGAATTCTTATCATTTGATCATAAAACTATGCTATATTCAACATGGAATGTATTTTAAATGTACAGGTGTACAGGACATTTCAAAAATTGTATAATTAAACACAACCCTTCTCCTGTCAACATCCAGAATACTTTGTAAACAAATTAAAAGTTGGATATAGGCATACCTGTAGATCAGCTATTATTATATGTACTATGTTTTCAATCCAAACATAGTTCCAATTAAATGGACCAAGGGTGTTGAAACCATACATGAACCATAACAAATAAAATCCAGTCTAAAATGGGTAAAAGTGCTTCAGGAAACAATAATCTCAATAGGCGCGTCCTCATCATCTCGAGATTGCCAAATAGCCTGCTATTTCTGATTTGGGAAATATAATCCTGAAGTTACAAATGCGCCTTCATCAGCTCGAAGATTCAACCTCGGAACGTGAATCTCGACCTTGAGAAATTAGCTCAAGATATTTTGCTCAGTGTTAGCGCATAGGGCGAGTCTTCGGTCTGGTGAAAACGCATAGTGGGATATTTTGCAAACTATCCCAAGATATCTTGGGATGACAATCCTGACCAAATATCCCGCTAATTGCAACTTTGGGCTGATGAAGACGCAAATTAGCTGGATAGTTTGCGATCGGGATAGTTCAAATAGCGAGATATTTGGCAATCTCGAGCTAGTGAGGACAGGCCTAATAGTTGGCAGTATTGCTTCCTGCTCCATTACCCCTATTAGCCTTCAGTTCTCCATCATTCAAAGATCTGATTAAAATAGTTTTGTTTGAAAGGCTTCATATTGATTTGAAATCGGAATGCAAGAAGTGTAAAAAGAAGAGAATGTTTGGAATTCAGTTGTTGTAGGAGACATTTAAATACCGGTTTATGAAGGACATTTATACTACAGATCATACATTGCAATGTTAATGAAACCAGTGCCAATAGACCTTGATGGGTGTTCTGTGTTTATTTTACATTACTGTAATTTACTAAAGAAAGCATTTTCATTGTATTGTTTAGTGAACCTGAAATCTGTGTTTCAAAACCACTACATAATATAATATGTAAACCCCATCTCTTGTACCCCATCTTGAACACATAACTGTGAATTTTTTTACTCTGATTCTTCAATAGGCAAAGCCAAAGATACTTTCAAAATTGAAACAAGTGATTTTACATGTCCTCTGTTTGGAGCCAGAAGGGTGTTCAATAACAAACTTGAACACATAATTACCTTCTGGCTTTTAACACAGGATGTAGGCCTTTCTTGTTTGTGATTAAAAGGTATACGTGGCACTGATGTCCTTTGGCAAGACATTAATCTACATTTGCCACTCTCCACCCAGGTTATTATTATTATAATGATCTCTCAAAATGACGGCATTATCTTTTCCCTTTCTTGTCCTCAATGTTATTTTCAGGTGGAAAGGACAGGCATGGTGGACCAGTCATCTCATTCCCTTCACAAGCCTCAGAAGTTTCCATCGAAGACATCGCTACCACCATCACCTATCTTGCCTCGTTACCAAGGTAATTATCCCCTGTAATATGGATAAAACAGAGATGGGTCTACACTAAGTTCTTTTCACAGGCGAGTCTGGATGGTAATTTTTAGGGTCTGCAAGGGAGTGTATCATTTACTGTGAATAAATCTTCTGTTGTGATAACAACAGGTTAGAGTTTATCATGTAGCATAACATATTTATCTGATTAACCTGTGAATTTGACTACTGGGAAGGAGGTCGAGTGTAGCATTTCGATTTCATGACTTGTATATGTATACATACATTAAGAGGTAGAATACCAATCAATGAAGACCTGTTTATGACATTTTGAAATCAACAACTCTAAATGGAACTCTAAACAAACAAAAGAATGGATTTACGTAATTTAATAACCAAAATACAAAACTTGTGATTTGATTATGCTTTTACAGAAATTCTGTATCATACATGTATATAAGTTTCTATCAAAGAGAAAACATGAAGTTGCGTATACCTATACTGTAATGAATAAGCTGCAGCAGCTCCTTCGAAACTGAAGAAAGGTGATTGATCTCCACTTCTGCCAGAGGCACTGTCTTTTACTAAAGTAAAGTTACAAAAGATAAACCTCCATTCTCTCTTTCAAAGAAGTTAAACCAGCCTACAAATCTAGAGGATGAAAAGCTTCCAGATCCATTATGGACAGATTTGAGATTGCTACTTCTGTCCAGACAATGTGTTCGTTCAACACAAAGCCTTGACCTGAAAAGATCTTGTGACCTTTTGGGTTTTGATCTACTTGTCTGTTGCCCAGAGAGTAACCAACAAAAAAAGAAGGGAGAAAAAAAGGACAGAAAAGAAAAGAAAATAAAGAAAAAGAAAGAAAAGAAAAAAAATCATGGAGATCGGGAATTTCAATCTTTACTTGCTAAGCTGCAATTTATGAACTTAAAGAATCTAATTGGCCCATATATTTATTTTAAGTATTTGTTGTTTTCTTTTGACAAAAAGACGATGGAAGTTTAAGCAACTTTCAATGGAGATACAATTCATCAGTGATATCAATTATACTTTGTCAATTTTGTGTACAATAAAAGGAAAATATCACCTCCCAGAATATGTCACACATTTGTTGTAAATCACAGTCTGTTACTATTGTAGAATAATGTGAGAATTCTTGATTAGCTGAAATATACATGTACAATGTAGCTTATATTTTCCAGAGAACTTGTAAAAAGATAATCCTGTGTGATCTCTTTATGGTTCATAGTTCAAAGACTTTCATAATTTTCTCACATAACCAACAAAGTGATTGGCATACAAAATGAATTGGTCTCTTTTTGTCCATTTATGTAGTTTTTTTTAAAAGTAAACTGAGCTCAATTGACCAAAAGAAACAAATAAACTGGTTCCTAGGAATATATGTGTGGTTACCTGTGTAAATATAATATATGTTGGCCTATATTTGTTGTGGCTGTATTTTATTGAATCGCTTTATTGACCACTGGGAAAGGAGGGAAAAAAGTTTCAAGGTTAAATTTGTGATTTCTCAAACATGTACTGTACCTGTAGGAACCTGTAGTGTACATGGTCATGGTATGTGAAATTTTGAATTGTTTGTTATGCTTCGTTTGCACCCATACATCATGTGTAGACTATACTTTATATGTCAGTACATGTAAACCTATTTGAATTTTTGTCAATGAATTAAAAATAAAAAAGAGTTTGATTTCAGTTTACATGCTCACATTGCATCAGGTTTACTTTAAAACTGGTGTGTGATTAACGTGGGATGGTGTAGGCCTACATGAAACCTCTGCAGGCTTTTATTGTTATTGTATGTGCACTGTACTGCTGGTAGACCATATTACATGTATGTTCTGGAATGCTTATATTCCAAAGGACATACACGTACACTTCATAAACATTGTATGGCAGGTATGCATTTGTTTGTTCTTCTCAAACAACTTGGCATGTACCGGTACTATAGATATTATTTTGGTATTGCTGTTTGCACACTTTGCTTGAGAGGAATATAACCCAGGCTGTTATATCTCAAGCATTTTGAACTTTACTCAGACTCGATCTTTGATCACAATTAAGACAACGATATTTGATTTGAATCTTTTATTTATCTGGGTATAAATGATGTTCATGTTACAAGCAAGTACAAAATAGAAATCATTAATTACTGTGCTAGCCATGGAAATTAATAGGCCTATAAAATGAAGTGGCAAAGTCTGGAGCAGGCTTAGGGTGGTACCCTATCCCCTAAAAATGGAAAAACAGGGGTACAAATGTTTTTATTCCTGCCTATTTCCTGGTATTATGCATTATGCTGATTTATAGATGTATTTCATCATGTTTGGGAGGGGGAAAAGGGGAGAGGGATGGAGAGGTGGAGGGAGTGAGGGGGAGGGGAGGGAGAAGGAGAAGGAGGAGGGAGAAGGAGGAGGGGGGGGGGGGAGAAAATGAATGGTGACTTGTAGGCCTAGTGATTTGGTATTTTGTTTATGTCCCTCCACAATCCTTATATTTTATCACTTGTAAGCCTAAATATAATTGTTATAGAAGTCCTTAATGTAAACCTTTTTGGTTTGTATTTTTAAAGCCAACTACTGAAATCAATATCCTTAGTTAAACATGTATGTATGTATGTATGTATAATAAGACAAGGATTTTTCATGGAGTTTAAATCCATATGAAAATATAATATTGCTCATGTACATGTACAGTAGGAAATCACCATCCCAGCGTAGCCCAGACATCGATTTGTCCAAATGCATTTGCTTTAGAATCAATCATTGCAATGATTACATCACCAAACATATTTTCAAGTGTTGAAGTTGAATCGTCTACGCTGCTAGTGTGTGTGATCTGATTCTGAACTTACCTGTTATAGGTATCCTATCTGTTTTTTCTCTCATGAACTTGTAGTGTTTCAATTGACCAATCAGATACCTTGAATTTGACCTCAACGACCTGACCTGACAGAGACTGCAATTGACCCAGATGCCTGTCTCACTGGGACATCGGCTGGAGGAATGCCCCTCCCTTTTTATATTGGTTTTATCCCCTAGCGTCAAAACAAACCATTTAAAGGGAAGATATTAAGACATGCGATTGCTGAATCTTTAGCTTTATTGATGCACATTCAACAGATGAAGAAATTGTGAAATAAGAAGGAAATTGGATAGGTTATGTTCTATTCTTATATGAGATGGAACCTCTTTACTTTTACCAATTTTGTCAATGACATGCAGCTTTAACCCTTAAATGGTGTGGGTGGTTTTATCCTGCCCACTGCTTTTCAATATGCTTAGAATACCAATTGAGCTACATGTAATGTGTTTTTCTTGTGAAACTACCAACAAATCATACACTAATTTTTCAAAGGTGGAATCTCATCATTGATATTCAATGTGTATATATAAAAAACACAAAGTTCATGTACAATGTTTGATACTATATTCATGAAGTCTAGCCTATTTGGAACTTGAGTAGCAGAGTAAGTATTACTATATTTCACCAAAACAATCCTTGCTTTTAGAACTTTTCCAGTGTACAGTGTTCATGTACTGATGTACATTTACATGTACCTTTTATGTTGCATTTGAGAAACGATTCCTCTCCTCCGTTGCCTTTGGTTATTGTTAAGTGAAAGAGGAAAAATCCCCTGCGAAACTAGTATGCAGTTTGAACTAAGAATACAGGTATTGTGGTGGGCGATGAAGTCTTGCAAAGACTCCCACGCAGACAGAGTTAAATCAGTCATCATGGGTCATCAAAGAGTCTATTTATCAACCTGCATAGTTCGATCAACACACTTCATAACAATCACTCAGTCATTATTTTTCATATGTTGAAAACTTTAAGGAAAAAATTGAAGTCAGACTGAAAATCAAACATCCACTTGTTTGCCTAATATTTTATAATAATCTGAGTATATGTCGTTGGTATGCATGTGTCATAAAAATGACTGATATACATCTCTGTTTATGTAAAGTTGTTGCTTTTTCTTTTTTCTTTGAAATCTTCTAGGCACCCTTTGCAAATCACTTATTTTTGGGGGTGATTTGTAGGAGTTTGGTCTTTAATTGACAACTACATGTATGTGCTACTAATAATGATTTGAAAACAAGTTTTTTTATTTTTCAATTAAAAAAGAAACATTGTAATAAGCGCTATAGAAATATAATGTATTATTATTATTATTATATGTTATATAGAACAGCAGTTGTCCCTTCCAAAGCAGGCATATATACAGGTATATGTATTTGATGGAAATTTGTTATAGTGAGTCGTTATTACAAATTTACCTATAATATAATAGGCCATATGTGTCATATAATTTTTTAAAAATCTGAATGTATAATTAAATCTGTAAATAAATGAATATAAAATATGAATGATTCCAAATGTTTTTGTTATGTTTCAGTACTGAGAGCAAGGCCCATGGCTTCAGTCTACTGGTGGACATGAGAGGGTCGGCATGGCAACCCATCAAAGTGGTCATGAAAGTTCTTCAGGTAAGCTGTAGATTCTTGTATGATACTCTGCTTGGATTTGGTATCTTCAGTCTTGTTACTATCAAATAATCTGTTGTTTGTAAGAGACCATACATGTATGCTTCATCAGTAAATATAATACTCTGTCCCATAGAGAAATTATGGAGGAGGAGGAAGAGGAGAATGAATAGATATCAGAATTAAGAAGTTTCGGAAACTAGTATTGACGAGAGCAAGTCCTAGGTATCAGATGTTAGTATATATCTGAGTAGTTGATAGCCCTTCTACAATGTATAGCTTGCATCATTAAAAAATATATCATGATATTGATACTTCCAATGTCAATTGTTACACATGGGACACAGAATGACCATAAAGCTTGGTCTTGCCCAGGAAAAGAGGCAGAAGGACAGTATAAAAAGAATGAAGGGGAGGTATAAAGGGAAAATAAAAATAATAATTTGCATCTCAAAATGGTGAAAATACAGATGTTGGAGTCTTGAAGTACAAGAAGATATATTCACTGGAAGGTTTTTATTTTTTAGACTACCAGAATGTGTGGGTGTTACATTGGCCATGTATGTAAACATGCAACAGATCCAGTTTATCATCACACCCGTGCACGTGACGACCTTCGTACATTATTAATATTAACTCTATCCATTGCATACACTCTCAAGACTCACGAGTCTACCACCAACACCAAAGGGGGCAGAAACCAAAGGGGGCAGAAATTCCTTGGTGATGAGTACATGTCTGGCTCCCAAGGGAGAACATAATAACAGGGTTCTTGATTTAGCAATTACACTGTAGGTAATTAAATGTCTGAAGGTGTTCTTGTTGCCATTGTGTTAAAGGATAGATGAGGATGAAAAGGTGGGGGGGGGGTAGGAAGGGTTATTGCTATTGTGTCAAAGGATAGGTGAAGAAGAGGATGATGTTGGGGGGGGGGGGAGAGAAACATTGACCAAGTATGATCACAGACTTACATCAACCTGTATATCAGGCTAATTCAGTGAAAGTAAATTTCATTTCATTTATTTATTTCACTCTCTTTTAAAAAACATCAAAAGTACATGTTCGTTCATTATTAACAAAAGATAAAAGGAAGTGGGGAATCATGAAAGCCAAAATTGGCTTGATGAGAATGATCCCCAAATAAATACTTTGCATAAACAAGATACAAACTTATTTTATATTAAAAAAAACATAGTACATACATTCACAAAAACAGAGGAAAGATAAAGATAGCACAAGGTTAAGACAGTTACAGGAAGAGAAGAAGAGAGAGAAGATAAGAAGAAGGAAGTTACAGCTTGAATTTTACATTTAACATAATAAATGACAATTTCATTTTGTTCCGCAAATACACATGAGCATTGACAAATTTAGCTCTGGTAACTCTGTGCTAGATCTGGTAAGATCAACAAAATGTATAACCCTTGCACTAAAGAAATGAAATGTATACTCTTCTGAATCCAAAGAGAGCTCATGTGTACAAAATACTTATTTAAAATAGTTTTGAAAAATAATTACAATGATAAGAGAAATTTGACATTGAAAAAGGTTTTTGAAAGAAAAAAAGAGATGGACTAGGATCGGAGATAAAATACATTTTATTGATACACTTGTAAATATACCTTTATTATGAAAATATTATAGATCACCATGTTATGGAGGGACATACATTTTTTAAAGAAAGGCTGAGGTGGGTGAAAGACCTGTACAGGAAAAATAAAGTACATTTACTTGAAGAAAGCAGCAAATATAGAAAGAGGAGAAGAATTAACCACAAAAAAAGTAGTAATTTGAGAAGTATTGCAGGCTGAATGATGATTGTCAAAGTTAAAAGTGGAAGGCAATCCTTTGATTCTGGTCTCTCATATTACATGTGATTGTTAACATTCCACCTGAAACCGATGATCTTGGCTGCTCAGTTACGACCGTGATTTATTGTTAGGAAGTGTCAAAGTGTATGTTGACACTGAGTTACTGGCCTAGGGTTGTACTTGTAGTACAGGCATGCTGTATTCTTATAAAGCAGTTCATACATGTAGTATAAGCCATTTTTTCCAGGGGATATTCCTGACAGGTTTTACCTTCATGATACTACTTTAGAGCTAAGTTATTGTTTATTTTCCATTGGAATAGGTCTAATTTTAGAGTTGGCCCATTAATGAAGATAAACATGATTAATACCTCAAGAAAGTTATGTAACTTGTTATGTTCACATTGTGTATGATTCCTTTAATGACATCTGTGAATTAATATTCATAATCCATTGGGATTATTCATATTGGATGATTCAATGTAAACCTAACAGTCTAGTGAGAGATGGTACATGTACATGTATGTCAAAAATGGTTCCCATAAAGCTTAGTAAACCCATGTAAAAACATTTACCAAAGTGATTTTGCCTCTGAAAATAAAATGAAAGCTCTCTTGAATACAAAAGTAATTTTACACCAATGGTAGGGTTCAGTAAATCTTGGTGTACACGTAGGATTTTTCATGTCCTAAGCCTTTTAGGATAAAAGAATCGCCAGGTTTAAACATGTACCACCTTTAAGATGTGGGAAAGATTGTAAGCTCGGAGGAAAGTTGAGAAGGGCTCTAGGGGGGATGTAAGAATAATATAATGATGTGATGATATGGTCTACAGGGATGTCACACTATCATAAACCAAAATCATGAGCTGTCATAAAACAACAAATGGGAAAGGTTGTTTAGCCTCTCGATCAGACAGATTGACATTTATCTTCGATTGTGTTTATAGAAGTGTCTTTTAGACAATTGCATTTGATTTACAAATGTAAATGCCATTGTCTCAAAATCTAAGATTTGGGTTTTATGTTTGTACGTGTGTAGTGACGATATATTTAATCACGTTTTATTTCATGTTTATTTGCAGAAAATAATAATCTTGAATGAAAAAGATTGATATGTTTTTTGAATTTATAAACACTCCCACACATATGTGTTGAATATATATACACAGAATCTTATATTATTCTGAAACTCAGGAGAAACTCATCTTTGGTTTTCTTTGTCTGAATCAGGTTGCATTTAAAGATGGCACTTCTCACTGTTTAAGTATTTTGTGTGTGGAATTAAGTGGCTTACCGGTACAATGAAATTGATAATAAAATAATAAGTTACATGTTTTCTCTTTTTTCTTTCTTGTTCCCTCTCTTCACACAGGAGACACTGGCAGCTGGTATCAGTACTATCTACATTCTCAAGACTGATGAACGTCAGAGGTCCAATCTTGGAATCAAGAAAGACAAATCACAAATGTTTGAGGTAATTAACTATCTGCTGAGAGTCAAAAGGGCATTAATTACCTCAGAATGAATTGATTCAAGTTTTAAAATGCCAATTAGGTTCTTGACACAGAGTGTCTGCAGTAGGACTTTCATTAATCGCTTGCTTTTCTCAACAATTTTGAGGTGGGAATTATATTCATGGTGCTTTCACACTGCTTGAAAAAATTAGTCCTGGGATAACAGAGCATGTCGGTTGATGAAGTTATTATGAAAGCAGCTGTCAGTTTGCTGCTTAAAAGACACCTTTTCTTATCATTAAAAAAAGAAGCAATTTGGACGTAACATTTGTGTAGAAGAATGTTTGTATTGCATGTTACTTTGTGATGGGTTCACAATTTAGTATGATTAATTTATATTCATCTTGTCTTATAATAGGAAATAAATTTAGAGTTCCAGTGCATGTTGCCTCATTTATGTTGATGTCCAAGCTCCCAAGTATAGATTTATATTGATTTATAATGATAGGGTTGTTGTGCGTTTTTTTCAATGGTTCTTAATTATTTTCCCATTCCTCCCTCTTGCAGACAATCATCCTATCATCACCTTCTAAGCTTACAAAGTACCTTGACACTAGTCAGCTGACAGAGGAGTTTGGAGGCTCTTTCGACTACAATCATCAGGAGTGGCTGCAGAACAGACTAGTAAGTTTGTGGTATCATGTGTCAGAGATCATGTTTACATCATGCAGTATCAATAGGCCCTTTATATCGAAGAAAAATTCATAAAAAAGCCATTGGTGTTTGATAATTCTGTTTTCTTTGTAACCCGCACACCAATAGAAATGATGATTGTGTATGTGGTTTGGAAAATAACAATGTTAAAATTGTATGTGCTGAATTGAGAACAAAAAGTAATTAGCAAGGCAAATAAATAAGTTTGTGGTATCATGTATCAGAGATCATGTTTACATCATGCAGTATCAATAGGCCCTTTTATATTGAAGAAAAACTCATAAAAAAGCCATCTGTGTTTGATAATTCTGTTTTCTTTGTAATCCGTACACCAACAATAGAAATGATGATTGTGTATGTGGTTTAGAAAATAACAACTTCAAAATCATGTGTGCTGAATTAAGAACAAAAAGTAATTAGCAAGGCAAATAAATGAGTTCAAAGTCCATTTGAATATGTTTGCAACCATGGTGTTGAGATATTTGTGTAGACTGACTACAACATAATCTAGGAATTATTATCTTTGTACAGTTCCTCAATGGTTTCTAAATATTTATGTATATGATCATGTTTATGATATAGATCCAATTGCTTAATTCCTGTGGCATGGATCGTCAATAATAGTTTTCATCAAATATAAATTTCAAAAGTTATTTTAGAGTAACATACTGTGCAATTTATCAGAGGTTGGGAAATGTTATCTTTAAAAAATTTCATATTAGAAGAAAAGTTCAAAAAAAGGTATTGCAGCTGTAAATGTACTTATTAATCTAATCCTTCTACTTTTCACTTTTCTGTTTGAAATTCAACAAATATGTTAATAATCAGTAATGTACAAACTAATCTTTAATTCTTTGATAGATTTTATGAAAGAGACGTGAAAATCAAATACTTACAAAGGCTATAATGTTTTTTTTAGTGATTACAGAAAAACACTATCAAAATTTACTAGTATGATCTCATAATATCCATCTTTCTTGTACAAATTGTGTATTTTCAGGAATTTGAGAAGTTCTTGAAAGACTCCAGTCTTACTGAGAAGCGCCTTGAGCAAGCTCATGAGGAGCTTTTATCTCGGCAAGATGAGAGATTGACTCCTGAGGATCAGCTACGTCGACAGAAACGATTGAGGGAGGTCGTCATCGAGCAACCAAGCAGTGTGCTACAACTTGGTGAGTTGATGATGGTGGTGGTGATAGTGATGGTGATGGTGATGATGATGATGATGGTGGTGATGGTGATGATGGTGGTGGTGTTGGTGATGGTGGTGGTGTTGGTGATGGTGGTGGTGTTGGTGATGATGATGATGGTGGTGAATGATGATGATGATGATGATGATGTTGAAGATGATGATGATGATGATCGATGATGACGAGGACAATGACGCCGATGATGATTTTGGTAATAGTTGAGATAGGAGGAATACATTGACATTGAGCCACCAGGCAAGCAACCTATATATTTCTATGTCTACGTCATTGATGAGAAGAATGGTGGTAGGGGTAGTGGTGGTGATAATGATGATAACGATGATAAATATTGATGTTAGTGATGACTATAGCATTGTGAAATGGCACTAATGGCATTAAAAATAAGGTTTATTATTTTCACATAATATATGATATTTATTTGCACAAATTGTCCACAGGCCATTCCCTTAGTCGACGTTTGGAGACGGATTCTGGTTTTCAGCGACAAGGTGGTGACCAGGGCTTCGGAACAGAGGACCAGCTGCTGATGCACCGAGAGGTGGACCAGCGACTTAACGCCCTTCAACAGAAACAGAACCAACTCAGGATGTACCTAGCCGAGAGAGATAGAGAGCTGGGAGTCCACATGCAACTGGGCGATATGGAGAGTGGCATTAAAAAGGTACAGCTCAGCTTGAGTATGGAAGGAATACATACATGTACAGTCAAACCTCCTTTAGTGACCACCTGTCTACAAAGACCACATTTTTTGTTTCCCTTGAAAATGGTTTCTCATTGAAACATGTACTATAGGCACCTGTCTATCAAGACCACTTTTTGTGTTTCCCTAGGGCGGTTGCTATAGACAGGTTTGACTGTATTGTAAGGTTTTAATTTCACTGATCCAAGTGGTTACTTGTTTATTTTACACTGTACATTTAGTTTTCCACTCCGATATGCTTTAGCGCACTCCTGACCTACATTCATTCTCTCCTGTCTGCTAGCTCTTGGCTTCTATTGTTCTGTCCCTATTCATTCATCCTCATGCACATTACCTGCTATAGCACCACACACACACACACTCTTCCTTATCTCTTAGCTATTCAACCCAGCACACATGGCACATGGCACTCTATCTTTTACAAGCTTTTCTATTGGTTACTTACTTATTGTCCAATCTTGTGATTGGTTATTATTGTTTGATGGACTGCATGTCAGCCATCTTGGCAGCCATTTTGTGGTTGGAATAAAATCTGATAGTGCAGCTCAAGTCCTCAACCATGTGAGACCACTTTTGTTTTGTGTGGGACTTTACAACTGGTGCCAGCAGTGGTTTTTCTGCACTAAACTGTAATTGCAGCCTTCCTTCATATGTAGAAATTCCTGCAGTGTTTTTAGTGGTGAGTTGCAAAGTGAAATTCTCCCTCCATCTGTATATGAATGTGAATGTTTGAGAGCATGATATCACCCTTCTTCTCACTGATTGACCTCCCTTCATTTTAAGCTGAGGCAGCTAGTGTTTGTGTGTATTCAACCTCCTTCATTAATTACTGAAGTTTCATCTTGACTTTTTGAGCCTTGATTTCTTCCTACATCAGTAATTTTGTGGATTCCTTCATTCATCCTGCATCAGTAAGTGAGATTTCCTTTACCCTTCTTCATACTGGAGCTGTATTTTGGTGGATATTCCTGCATTCATCGGTTCATCGGTGACTGAGGTTTTTTTTCTTCACCCTTCATACAGTTCTGTATTTTTCAAGCAACTTATCACATCCAGTTTGCATGTATAGTCTGCCGTTGGCTGCCGTACATTACAGCATTCTGCCATATCAACCTGCATATTCTACATAGTGTTGGCGTAGCAACATAACCAGTTGCAGAATACACCCTCCTTCCATCATAGCCGCTCGCCACAGATATTTCAACTGTCGAGTTTGGATTTTCTTCATCTGCACTCAGAGTGACCCCCCCCCCCCCTCCTTCACATTGACTCATTCAGTAAGTTTTACTGGGTTGATATCTTGTTGATGATCATATCTGTTGAGTCGATTGCTTATAACTCCTACAGTATGGCATCTTATCGCATGGAATTGCCAGAAGTGTTTACGGGAGAGAACGGCAAAGACTTCCGTCAATGGATACGTCGATTCGAAGTTGCTGCACAGGCGTTTTCGGACACTTCTATCAACTTGACCACCCTCCTTCCGGCAAGACTAGCAGGATCAGCCTTCATCGTGTGGGAGAGCTTGTCTGCTTCGGACAAGAAGGATTTCAAGACGATGAAAGAGAAACTCTCTCAGGTTTTCGGCCGGACACAGTTTATTGACACATTCAAGTCTTGTATTACTGCCCGAACTCGCCAACCAGGTGAGCCGTTAGAGGTGTTTGCATCAGCCATTGCTTCCTTAGTAGAAGAGGCTTTCCCGTCTTATGATGACAATGCAAAAGGTGGTGAGAGATTTCGACGATTTGTTGCCGGGGTAGACAAACCGCTTCAAGTTAAGATTCACGAGCTCGGAGGCTTTGATTTTGACGAGGCCTTGAAGATCGCACTTCGTGTAGAAAGAGCACACCAAGCACACGATTTTGGTATAGTAGCAGCTGTAGATGATCGGGTCCAGGACAAGACGCCTGCAGAATCATCAGTCTTACGACTACTACTGCCAAGACTCAACGAGTTAGAAAAGAAGCTGGATAGGATGTCTTTAAAGTTAGAGACAGTTGAAAGGCCTAGCAGATCTCAGCAACGCGGTGGCAGCCCATCAGGACGCTCCCATGAGGGAAGACACATGGAACGTCGTGGGTCTCCGTCACCAAGCCGTGACTACCGAAGACACAGGTCGCCAGAATATGCAAGACAGAGATCTCCAGAATATGCAAGACACCGATCTCCAGAATATTCAAGACACAGATCTCCAGAATATGCAGGACGCAGATCTCCTGAATATGCAAGACGCATATCTCCAAGCCCTAATCGGAGCTACGCATATCAATCTAGGACTTCACCCTCTAGATGGCCCTATGAATCTTCTAGCAGCCGAAATCAGCAGCATCCTTCCACTGCAGGTTATCAAGTTGACTCCCATAGACAGGCTCCCTATCGTCAAGTTCGTTTTGAAGACCAGCAGCAGGGAAACTTCTGGTAGTTGAGGAAGAGGGCCATTCATCAACTACACACACCAAGGCCCCAATGCGAATAGCACCTATTTCGCCAAAGAAATCGCCCTACATCCCGATCGTTATCGACAATGTCTATGTATTGGCACTTGTAGATAGTGGATCATTCATATCTCTGTTGAGTGCCAAATTTCTGTCATCCATTCCAGCATCGCAAAGGAGCCCGTTGGAAAAGTTGACATCCATGGCATCTACTATCACAGGTGGGCTGGTAGACAACATTGGAACAATCGTACCATCTCTGCACTTAGGGAACAAGGCTACACAACACAAGTTCGTTGTTGCACGCAACATCACTCATTCAGTTGTCCTTGGATGGGACTTTATTGACAGCCAGAATGCCTGCATATCGTCAACATCGTTCAACATGCCTGGAAATGTTATTCCCTTCATCGATCGTCAGCAATACCAAGCCCCGCTGAAATGTAAAGTTTCTCTTGTTGGACAAGCTCGGATCCCCCCAAGCTGCGAAACTCACGTCCAGGGAAGATTGTCGTCGCCACAGTTCGACATCATACCAAGAGACTATGATGGCTACTTTGAACCTACATTGCAAGATCACATTCCTGTTATCGGTGCCAGATCTCTGTTCAAGCCTCAAGATGGTCTTATTCTAGTACGCCTCATTAATCCCTCTGACGAAGCAGTCGATCTACCTGCAGACACCTGCCTTGGTCAATTCTTCTCCATTACTGGGGATACCGAAGAGGAATACAAGATCATGAGCGTAACTACTGACGCTGATCCACAAGTGACAGACAAGTCACCAGTTGCTGGTGTTCTCCCTTCTTCAGAACTCACGAGGACAGAGTACGAGAAAGCTGAACATCTTCTTCAGACCTACAGTGATATTTTCAGCACGACGTCTCAGGATATTGGTCAGACCGACATTATTCATCACCACATTGACACCACCACAGCTACTCCAATACGACAGAGGGCGTATCGAACTTCACCAGCAATGAGAGTGGAAATTCAGGAGCAAGTGGACGAACTTCTGCAAAGAGGCATCATTGAAGAGAGCTTCAGCCCATGGGCGAGCCCAATCGTCATGGTGAAGAAGAAGGACAACACATACAGATTTTGCGTGGATTACAGAAAACTCAATGCAGTAACTGTTCGAGATTCTCACCCTATTCCACGTCAAGATGATTCAATTGACTCCCTTTCTTCATCAGCATATTTTAGCGTCATGGACTTATCAAGTGGATATTGGCAGGTCAAGCTCGATCCCCAAGACACAGAGAAGACTGCTTTTACCACAGGCACAGGGCTTTACCAGTTCACTGTCATGCCATTCGGACTGGTCAACGCTCCCATGACATTTCAGCGTCTCATGGAAGCCGTTCTACATGGCCTCCACTGGTCTACATGCCTTGTATACCTTGATGACTGCATAGTCATGGGCAAGGACTTTGATGATCATTGCAAGAACCTCCAAGAAGTATTGCAACGATTCAGAGACGCTGGACTCAAACTCAAACCCTCAAAGTGTGGCTTTTTCAAGAAAGAAGTTACGTATCTTGGCCACATAATCAACACCGAAGGAGTGAAACCTGACCCAAACAACGTTGAGAAAGTCAAGTCCTGGCCTCAGCCGAGGACACCGACTGATGTCCGATCCTTCCTTGGCCTGGCATCTTTCTACCGACGTTTTGTGCCCAGTTTCTCTAAGATTGCAACTCCCTTGTCGACCCTTACACAAAAAGGTCAACAGTTTGTATGGACAGCAGAGTGTGAAAAGGCTTTTCAACATCTGAAAGAAGCTCTAACCAATCCACCTCTCCTCGCCTATCCAGACTTTGAAAAGGAGTTCATCCTATCTTCGGATGCATCCCTTCATGCAGTTGGTGCTGTCCTCTCACAGACTCAAGATGGTAAAGAACGTGTAATCTCCTACTTCAGCCAAACTCTCAGCGCTACGCAGAAGAAATGGTCTACCTATGATCGAGAGCTCTGGGCAATTGTTACAGCTGTTCGCCATTTTCGTCATTATCTGAGACACCAACACTTCACTATCCTGACAGACCACAAACCTCTTTTGGCTCTCAGGAAGTTCCCAATTCAAGACGATGCAACTGGGAAGAGAACACGATGGATATTGGAACTCAATTCCTACACGTTCAGCCTTATTCACAAGAAAGGACAATCACACAGAAATGCAGATGCATTATCTAGACGCCCGAGTCAAGAGAGCCAAGTCACTCCAAGATTGACGGATCAGCTACTCAAGCACATGGTGACCAATCCACTGTGTAATGCAGTCGAGACTCGTTCATCAACGAACACATCTACTCCCAATGATGCAACGAGGCAGTCTGCACCAAACGTCCTTCATCCTTACCGTGGTGTAATCCTGGACAGTGATGTAGATGTTCAACATGAACAGCAACTAGATCAAGACATCAGTACAGTCATCGAATGCGTCAACAATGGTGAGCGGCCAACCATTCGACAGATCCGTAGACACAACCCCCGGGTTAGACGTCTCTTATGGCAGTATCCCAAATTCATCCTCCAAGATGGTATACTCTACAGGAAGAAGAAAGACAAGCTTGGTAATCTCTCATTCCAACTTGTCGTACCAAACTCCCTCATTCCAAGGGTACTTCAAGAGTTACACGGTGACCCATCATCCGGACATTTCGGCGCTCATCGCACAATACAGAGAGCAGAGTCAATGTGCTATTGGCCCTTCATGAACAAGGAAATCACTGATTTCTGCAACACATGCACAGCTTGTGAGTCCTTCCGGTTACCAACCCCTAAGCATCAAGCACCCTTACGTCCCATTACCACTACTCGCCCTTTGGAGATGGTCTTTGCCGACATTGCTGAGCTTCCAATTACAAGACGAGGATTTCGCTACATACTCGTTGTGACTGATCATTTCAGCAAATATGTCAATATCTTCCCTATGAAAGATCAGACTGCTCCAACCATCGCCAAACATCTGTTTGAAGAATATGTGAAAGAACATGGTATTCCAGAGACTTTGCACACCGACCAAGGTCGACAGTTCGAATCAAGATTAGTGCAAGAACTATGCAGCAAATTGGGCATCAAAAAGTCTAGATCGACACCCTATCATCCCCAAGGAGCTGGCATAGTCGAACGTTGTAATCGCACCATCAAAGATCAACTTGCGAAGTACATTTCTCATCAAGGAGGAGAATGGGACACTCACATCAATCAAGTCCAGTTAGCGTACAACACAAGTACTCATGCCTCAACAGGTTTGACGCCATACTACATCATGCATGGCAGGGAAGCCCGTACACCTGCGAACATCACCTGTTCAACTCCCCCTCCATCGTCATCTGGCAAGACACTCCTCGAATACACAACCAACCTGTCTGAGCGATTGAGAAAAGCATGGGAGTACACCATACAGAATACACGACAGCAACAGGAAAAACAGAAACGACAGTATGATGTGAAGAAACGCATTTCAAAGTATGACACAGGTGACTTTGTTTGGTTACATGACCCTACCAACATCAGGAACAAACTCGAACCAAACTGGAAAGGTCCTTTCAGAGTATCTTCCTCATCAGACGATGGACTAAATTATGACATAGTTCATGTCCATGATGAAAAGTTCAAGCGACGGGTCCATCATAATCGTTTGAAACCGCATCGAGCCAGAGCCCCACAAGTGATGTCAACTCCACCATCCCCACCAACCCCACAGCCTACGTCAATACATGGGACTGAGAGGACAACGACACAGTACCCACCAGGTCCCCCAGCAGAAGACGAGACTGGGAGAAAGGTGCAGTCCAATCAACCTACTAGCCATGGACCAGCCTACATCACGTGGTCATCTCGACCACCAGATCGCATCCTACATCACGAGCAGTCGAACCATGACCGACCATCACGGTCAAGTTTGTCTGTTCGGCAACAAGCCTCAAACCAGCCAACCAGTTCAACAGAACGCATCCTCCATCACCGACAGTCAGACCATGACCAACCATCACGGTCAAGTTTGTCTGTTCGGCAACAAGCCTCAAACCAGCCAACCAGTTCAACAGAACGCATCCTCCATCACCGACAGTCAGACCATGACCAACCATCACGGTCAAGTTTGTCTGTTCGGCAACAAGCATCAAACCAGCCAACCAATTCTAGCCACCAATCCAGGCTAGTTGACTCAGCCCCACTTCAGCAACAACCTAGGCCATCCCTGCCGACTACCCAAACCCAACATCAGCTGTCCTCGCCGGTTGGCCAACTTCAACTCAGACCCCAATATCAACTGAGGTCGACGACTCACCAATCCCAACTTTGGCCATCCTCATCAGCTGAGCAACCTAAGCCGTCCTCATCCGCTGACCAACCTCAACCTCAGCCATCCTCATCAGCTGACCAGCGCCAACATCAGCCGTCCTCATCCGCTGACCAACCCCAACATCAGCCGTCCTCATCCGCTGACCAACCCCAACATCAGCCGTCCTCATCCGCTGACCAACCCCAACATCAGCCGTCCTCATCCGCTGACCAACCCCAACATCAGCCGTCCTCATCCGCTGACCAACCCCAACATCAGCCATCCTCATCCGCTGACCAACCCCAACCTCAGCCGTCCTCATCCGCACGTTCGAGATCTGGTCGACAGGTTAAAGTACCCGCCAAGTTTCAAGATTACAAACTGTAAAGACTTTCGAAAACTAATGTTTGCAATAGTGATAGACGATTGAAAGACTTGCTGATTTTCACTTTTCGCTGTCATACCTTGCATTCGCCATGGCCCCATTGTTTGTGACAATATGTTATTGATAGAATTCTTGATTTTTGAACGTCTTGGAAGATTTATGATATTTTTGTAGGACTTGTCAGTAAAGATAGGATTAAATTGTCAGTTTTTAATGTTTAGACAGGAAAAAGAAAAAGACAAACTTTCAAACATTTTGTCATGTGTTTTTCCATCAAATTTGTTAGTTACACGTCAATTGGGTGAACTCCTTAATGCGCCCGTCTTTTATTTTCAAAAAGAAAAAAAAAAGAAAAAAGAGGGAATTGCATAGAAGGAAAACTTCATGATTTGATTTGTTCAGGTATTTCAAGCAAATTTTATGTGACTCATCTTCTTCGGAAACAAAAGCATGTTCATACGATGTATCTTTTAAAATGAGGACATTTTTCTGTGAAGATGGTATATTATGTAAGGTTTTAATTTCACTGATCCAAGTGGTTACTTGTTTATTTTACACTGTACATTTAGTTTTCCACTCCGATATGCTTTAGCGCACTCCTGACCTACATTCATTCTCTCCTGTCTGCTAGCTCTTGGCTTCTATTGTTCTGTCCCTATTCATTCATCCTCATGCACATTACCTGCTATAGCACCACACACACACACACTCTTCCTTATCTCTTAGCTATTCAACCCAGCACACATGGCACATGGCACTCTATCTTTTACAAGCTTTTCTATTGGTTACTTACTTATTGTCCAATCTTGTGATTGGTTATTATTGTTTGATGGACTGCATGTCAGCCATCTTGGCAGCCATTTTGTGGTTGGAATAAAATCTGATAGTGCAGCTCAAGTCCTCAACCATGTGAGACCACTTTTGTTTTGTGTGGGACTTTACAGTATTATCAAAACTATCACAGATTTGATTAGTTTCTTCATGCTGAGGTTCGGGACACAATTTTTCATGAAATTTGGATGAATGCGTTATTATATTACCTTCAGTAACTGATAAGTGCCTCTCATTCTCATTTGGAATGAAAATAATTTGAAAGAATGCAGTTTGAAATATTGTAGGTGTATGCAGTTATACGAGTGAGATATAAACATTGTCATGTCATCTTTTCGAATCGCAATGACTCTCTTCTTCTTCTTCTTATTATTGACATTAATTTCCTCTTTATTTCGAGTGATCAACAAATATGTAATTACTGTGAGGAACTTAATATGATTATTTGTTTTAGTTATCCTATCCATGCGCCAATAAGCATATTTTACTCTGATAAAAATCTGTTGTGTGGACTCCCTTCCCAAATGATTCCACTGGTATTCTCTTTGGATATTTTTCAGGTAATAGACTGGATAGTAGGACCAGGAGAGAAGCTCTTATCATCACACACAGACATCGGCAATGACTACAAAACTGCTGAGAAACTCAGGAGAGAGCATGAGAAATTGGAGCTCAAATGCACAGTAAGTTAGGACATCAGGGCTCAGTTTTGTGATTGTGTAGAACGTGAGACGCTGAAAAATATCTTGTTTGATATTATATGTACATGTAGTTTGGGATGATAATGTGATATTTTTTGTTGGGGTCATTTAGTTATTACAGTTTCAGTCGGATCTGTTATTTTCTTTCTGAGGGCATTTAACGTTTCCATCAAAAAGTCAAAATTTGGTTTCAAACCGAATTCCACAAAAGTCAGTTTGAAGGCAAAAAGAGAGAGCGAGACCAACTCACATTTACCACTATGCGAGAAGGGTATGTTGTTTTAGATTAAGTGTACCTTGTTCAAGAGTCAAGCAGTATATTCATGTAGATTGTTAGAATATGAATGAAGAAATATAGCTGTTACATTTTATATACTTCTTTTCTCTACCATGGCTAATAATATACATAAATATTAGTCATCTGTCCTCAATGACATCATCTAACCATTTTGGGTTGTGTCTTCTGTGACAGGATATTTATGGTAACTATGCTGAGCTTCGTCATGTAGCAGACTCCATCATAAAGAGCGGCCATCCCCATGCGGGGGACATCAGCGCCCAGAAGGACTACCTGGATACGGTCTGCCGTAGCTTTGCATCTCGTCTGGAGAGGAGGCGGAACCTCGTCATTGGTTCTGTCAGGTTCCACCGATTATCACAAGAAGTAAGTCACTTTCATTCAACAGGCTCTTAAAGGGCAAGTCCACTCCAAAAATATCTGACTTACAATAGAAAAATCAGACAAACCTTTGTGGATTGGACTTGGCCTTTAATCCTTGGAATATGGGTATTTTTGTGTGTTTTAAGATTGTGCTCTTGCTAATTTGCTGTTGAGTTTTACAGCAACAGATGTGCTAACTCAAATTCACAAGTGGAAGAATGATATTTATCATAAAGTCTTGCCACAGCTAAAAAAGCAGTCTGTTACAAATAAATGATCTTTTAACATCAAATGGTTGCAATTTGAAAGTGGTTGATTTGAATTTGAAAATTTGAAACTGTTATATCTTTGTATCTTATTCTCCATTATGTTTGTTTCTTCATTATTTCTTGTTCATTTTTGCATTATGCACAAATCTGATTATTATGTTATTTTATATTTTTCCTTACAGGCATTTTCCAAACTAGCAGACCTACTAGAACTATGCACAGGGGAAGTTGAAGTAGATTCTGTTGAGAGCACAGAAGAGGCACTCAGACTTCTCCTAGACAACTTTGACAACTCAAGTAAGTCTCCTATCTCCTCTTGAAAAAATTATTAAGGACTGACCAAACATATCTAATTATGAGCGCCTTTTGATAACACATCTACAGCCTTTGAAAGGTTCTAGTGGAATTTGATTGTTTTTGATAATCAAACCTTGAAATCTTACAACTGGGTGAGATATGAAGAGAGTTGTTGCTGTATAATGTTACAAATGATATAAGAAATGTATATTATACAGAAATTTAATATCAAAATACATATACTGAGGCAATCAGGAAGACCTTTTTACACATCCTACCGCTTAAGAGGCAGTAAAAAAAATCTCACTTTAAAATTAAAATGGGAGTATCTCCTAATATACAGCCTTTATTTTGGTCTCCATTAATAGTGTACACTACAGACCGAGCCATTCGTGAGGGGAAGAGCATCCTTGAGATGATGGGCCTACCCATCAAGAATGCCTTCGGTAAGGACATCACACCGAACTACGACAAGCATGTTGATCATGTTGAGCGCATTTTGGCCGAGTTAGAAGGTCGCAGGAATCGATGTCGCGACCTGGCCGAGGTCAGAAGGCTAAAGCTACAGCAGTTGCTACAGCTGAAAACCTGCGAGAGAGATGCTGAACAGGTAGGCAGAGGAAGCCTTAATTTTTTGTTTGTTGGAACATGACCAGTAAGTTAGTTGAAAACTGCCAGAATGGACAGACAAAATGCTCAGACAGACTTGCTCTTAGATCCTTTTCTCAACTTCACAATTTATAGATGGAGAGCTTGGTCTTGTTTACTTGTGATGTATTACATTAATCTATACCCTATAATTTTTGCTGATATAGGTCTTGGACAAGTTTCAATTTTCATTATAGTTTAAAGCCAAAATTTCACACTTTTCAGTGGAGCCACTTGTGTAATTATCCTATAGGTAATACATATTTTTCACAAAATTATGTACATTGCATGCAGGTTCTGTAGAGACCATCTTCAAACTTGGATTTCACCAGAGATATAGAGAAACGAATGGAGCTATTGTTACTCGAGCATGTGTAATACAATCTCCAATTTAAAAAACTATATCAATCCACAGGTGGCTATAAAATGTTGGGTTAATCAAATTTGTTTGTCTTTATTTGCTTGCAGAACAAAGACCCATCTGATCACTAGGCTATAGCCACACATTGAGCAGAATGCCCAGTAGTTGAAAATGAATCTATTTTCAGGGATGCCAGTTTTCAGGCAATAGCCTGAATTCAGGCCCTGGCAAGTTATTTTCAGACCATAGTTTAGGCTTTTTTTGTGTACAAAACAGCTCATTCTAGGTGATTTTCATGCCCTCTGATCAATTCTAACTGGCATCCTGTATTTTGTGGATGAGAAACCTACATATTTGTTCTGTCAAAGATTTGTCTAATTTCACTGTTGTTGCTTTGCTTCTAGGCTATATCATGGCTCCTGGAGCTGCTTGATAACATGCTGCTGCAGCACATAGAGGTCGGGAGGTCAGCAGACGAAGCCTCCTCTCTCAAAGATGAACACACTAAATTTGAAACTACTGCAAGGGTAAGAACAGTGCATGCTCACTTTTCAACTGTATTATTTATTTTTGTTCTACATTGTGAGAAATAATGTATTTATATAAAAAAATTATCAATTGATAACGGTACATTGGCTGCACCAGCTCGGCTGCCAGGTTGTAGAAATGGCTAACTTAACCTGATTACTGCTGAATACTCTCTTTCCCATTTTTCTTTCCCATAACACTAGAACCATCTGGTTCCCATAGGCAATGGGTTAATAGCCACGACCTGCAAGTTTTCTTCCTTCACCATGCTAGTGCAACCAGAATAGAAATATTAAGGATATATTGACTGCTTTGAGAGGCATAGTGGTTTCTATAGGGTCAAGGGAAACTCACAACCTGCTATGACCCCAAGGCGCTTGCGCCGCGGGGTCATAGCAGGTTGTGAGTTTCCCGAGACCCTATAGAAACAACTATGCCTCGAATATTAAAAGCAGTCAATATATATTTTATATACCGAAAAAAAGGAAAATGTTGACTCACCCATTTAGGTTTCTATCTCTTTGAAGTCATGAATATTAACACCAACAATAACTTGTGTACAGTATGAAATCCAACAAGCTGTGCTCCAGTAGAACAGGGAATACCAAACACGTTTACACGAACAGTAACTTTTGTACAGGATGATATCACCAACAAGCTGTGCTCCAGTAGAACAGTAGAACATGAACAGTAACTTTATAAATTCACAAATTTTAGCTGTGTCCTCCATTTTGCCTCTTTATTGACAAAAAATTGGAAACAAAAAACCCCAGTATTTTGCGATCGAGACTAGTACACAAAATGGCGATCGGTCGTCTGCGCTGCGTGGATTGGTAGATTCGTCGCCTGAATGCAGCGACCAAAATCGAATTGCACTCAAACACCGTTAACGGTATTGCGCATCGGTCATCGCACAAAAGAAACTTATACGGTAACACGTAAACCAAAATGGGGATCGCAGCAAAATGACGTCACGTTTCACAGCCATGGAAAAAGTGCTATGAAAAATGGATATAAACCGGTAGAGCCGGGAAAAATGACTATGAATTTCAATTAGCGGGCATGGTTAAGAACATGACTGCATTTTCAACCAATCAGAAGACAGGATTAGTAAAGAATCTTAAAATGAGGTATATAATTATTGATATTATTTCCATATTTTGACATTCCTTGGATATTATGGGATTGAAGGGAAGTATAGGTTGTGATTTCTAGGAGAGGTTCTGTGGTAAGGAAATTAATGTCTTATGATATATTGGATGGAGAGGAAGAAGCAAGGAAAAGAAATGGATTTGAGGATTTATGGATCGTACAAGGGTATAATGGGCAAACAGCAGTAAAGCATTAATGGAAAAAGAGAGGGGAAACTGAATGATTTTTTGAGCTTGTATGTGGATGTATAAAGAGGAAATGAATGGAGAGAAATAGAATTTTCATTTAAATATAGAAAGGAAAAATTGGAAGGTACATGTAAGTAAAGTGAGAGATATGTAATAAGAAAGTGAGAGGGAGAAGTAAAGTGCTAGACAGACTGAAAGGCAGAGAGGAATGCAGATTTATGCTACAAATGTCCTTGTTTCCAGTAAAATAAAGCAACTTCATTCATCCCTTCCTCCAGGAAACGTATGACTACGGTCTAAACCTCCTACGCACCTCTCTGATGCTGAGACGTTCACTTCACATGAACCTTGAACCAAGTCAGGACAAGTCACAGCGTCTTGAGGCAGCCTGGTACCAGTTCTCACAGGCCCTTGGAGAGAGATCCTCAAGGCTTTCAGTGTCTCTCATGTTCCAAAGAAATGCTGAGAAGGTAGTACAGTCTTTTTACCTATTGATTATACGAGCATTTTTTTTAATGAAATATTATAGAAACCATATGTGTCCTACATTTGCACAGGAAACAACAAATTCCAAGTATATCTCAAAAATGATTTCCAGAATTATATTTATAATTGACATATATATGTATCTGGATACATTCCATATGTGGCTACATTCTGAAAACTTTTATCCATTGTGTTAATGAACAGTATATTGTTAATGCTCTTGCATATTCTCTCTTAAATATATGAATACACAACCAGCTTTGTGCAGACATTGACCAATGAATTGTCTTACTTTCACCAACACCACTATCATGAACAATAACAAGGATGCCACAATACCCTCCCTGGTCTCAGGCTTATAGATTGAAAATGGGCAGTCAATATATATATATATATATATATATATATATATATATATAACTGCTTTTATGATTTTAGGAAGAATTATGGAAACATAGATTTTAAGCCCATCTGTACTAGTTTGGCTAGGAGGGATTAGGCCACCCAGCGAGGTTACTGACAGGTTGCTATCTCATCAACTCAGTTCTCAATTAACATAAGAAAAAGAGGATCATGGGGGACCAATGGTCACTGATTAGGCATTGTTTTCTATTTAGAGGGAGCAAGTATATACAAGTAGTACAGTGGGGCTTTAATACAGTTGTCTAACTTCAAATTTTCATGTTTTTTGCCAGTTGATATCCTATATGGACAAACTGTGCCAGGAGGTGGCGCCGAGAGTTGCATCACACAGCGGTGATACAGGAAATCGTCACCTCCTGGGCTATGAACCAAGACGTCGTGCCCTGCTTCGTCAGTACCAAGAGGCAGCAGCTATGGGACAGGCTCTCCTAGACAGGCTTGCTCTACCGGTGGTTTCTCCCGACAGGTAATATTCCCACTCAGCAGAATATACAGTTTTTCTAATGTCCATGCATTGTACAAGGGTCAGAATATATCATCCTTTTTGGGACTGTAAGGGTCGAGTCCAGCCAAAGTTATTGAACTTGGTGTGTCATTTAATGTGGATTGTGAATTAAATGCATTGTTGATATTGTACTATTACTTTAATCCCTTGTCAAATCTGATCCACTGAAAGATACTTTGTGTGGTCATTAACAACAACTAGATTATTAATAATCTATAACTACTGTATCTTTGAAAGTTTATCATTGAGGCTCGTCTGTAAACTGAAGAATGGAGAGAATTCCAAAACTGATTTATGGATTTTGATTCGTAATTCTGTGGCATTTTTAGATGTTTTTTTATAAAATTGCTATTTACATGGGAGAGAAGTAATCTGTAGGTGACATATTGATGCCCAAATGGGAAAGAAGATTATGATTAAATTAATACGAGCATCTTTGATATAGATTTATGATACAACTTCATCACTAAATCATTGACCATCCACTGTCGACACTTTGCAGGGCTTCCAGATCCAACATGAGAGTCGTACCCGAGCAGCTCCAGCCGGCAGCTGACCACCTGGCACAGAAGATGGCCGAGCTGGAGACCAAGCGGAGGGAGATGGAGCTCCTCTTTGGTGACACTGAAGGTGGCTCCATGTTCACCCCTACCTCCTCCACCTCCTCCCTGGCTCCAGGTGCTGTCCTCCATGGGGAGCCCATCCCAGAGATGGACTGGGACGTAGTGGCTAAGAAGGACGTGCCCGTTGAAGAGGTCGCACCCATCGTAGCGCAGAAACAACAGGTTGGTGGTGTTTTCTTGGCCGTCTAGCACGAAATAGTTTCTTTCATAATACAGTCAAACCTGGCTATAGCGACCACCCAGGGGAAACACAAAAAGTGGTCTTTGTAGACAGGTTCCTTTAGTACATGATTTGTACTTGAAACTGTTTTCAAGGGAAACAACAAATGTGGCCTTTGTAGACAGGTGGTCACTAAAGCAGGTTTGACTGTATCCTTAAATGTTTAATGTAAAGGCTTATTATTCATGCAAATGAAATCTACGTAGGGATACCAGAGCCCTGTCTCATAAAGGGGTGTGATTAATCCTCAAATCAATCGGTAACTTTTAATATCCTATCTCTTAACGATAGAGTTGCAATTGATATCAAGTTGTGATCTACTAAAAATCTGTCATAACTCTCTAACCGATGGGCCCCATGAGATGTCATTTAAAAAATCAAAAGCAAGTTGTTATGATTTTTTATGTTTGTGAACAGCTTAGATTTGGAGAATTTCTATGTGCAGCAAACAGTACTGAAGGATTTAGAATTTGTATGTTGCCGTAAAGCACAGACATAGCTCCCGTAATTATCTCAAATTCTTCCCCCCCCCCCAAGATCACATTTTTCTTGTCAATACATACCAGAACATTGTCCCTAGTAACTTTAGTGTACTGATGTCATAATTGCATCCGTAAATGCTGGGGCTTACATTTGATATGCCTGCACCACTATAATTTCTCTTCAACTCCTTTCTTTAAAAATAAAATAAAAACGTGCTTCTGGAATATCACATCATAAAGTATACTGAAAAATATACTTGAATATTGTTGGTGCAAATGTATCGATTAATAGTCATGAAATTAAAACTGCTCTTCCAATTGCTTGCACACAGTCTGTGATGTCTGCTCCTCCTCCACCGGGTCTCAATGGCAGGATGAATGGACGACTGAATGGCAGTCACAGCAGCTTGAACGGGAGCCGTTCCAGTCTCAACAGGATGCCTTCTTCTGGATCACCTAGTCTCTATGGCATCAGGCCAGAAGATGAGGCGCTGAGACGACTCAAGGAGTTTGAGAACAGAGTGAAAGGGGTAAGAGCTCCTCTTAACATTTCTTTGTTGATTGTTAAAGGGGGTGTAGCATGATGCGACTACGTGTCTTACCCGTGGCCCCGCCAATCGGGTGTATTACGACTACGGACGATGCGACCGCAGTATTCGTGAGGAGAGCTTAGGTCTGTTTCACGAACGCTAGCACGCTGTCAGTTAATCAAATCCATTTGTTTACGTGCAGTTGTCCAAAAGAAGTCGCAGATGGCGTTAACCAGTCTTTGCCATGCTACACCTCCTTTAAAGTATGTGTTGCAAAAGTAGTGCATTCTTGATGGTGTTGTTTCTTTTGATAAACAAAGGAGTCATCTTGGTTGGTAATGTTTCAAAGTGAATCTGAAAAATTGCAATGTCACAGAATCCATTGCTGTTGGATAGAGGTTGGGGATTGGGCTTGAAGTGGCAGATACTGTTTCAAGACCTTTCCTGATTTTTCATGAAGAAATATTTGGAAAAAACCAGTTATAAATCATGAATTGCATAATATTACATTTGCTAATTTTCAAATTGGAGGATGCTATTTGTGTTGTATTTCAGTTTGAATTTGCTGCTGTTCTCTATGATGTTCATTGGTGATGATGATAGTGGTGGTGTCAGTTGATGTCAGTGTTGTTATGGTTGGTGGAAGAAAGAGATAAGATGAGAAGAGATGAAAGGGCTTCTTTTTCCTGTGTATAATGTGCAGTTGTGAAGAGTGGTCTTTCTAGGTATCAACAGATATGTTTGACAGCTGGCCATGCCAGTAGCCCTTGTAAGGAAAGTCCCCAATAGGCTATTCATAAAAATTGTTTTGCTGCTGCTCAGATGATGTCAAACATCGTGTCTGTTTTTTAAAAGACATACTGATGAAGTTCTGTGTAGCCAGCACAGTAGAAAGAGTGCAGCATGGGTGACTCTGATCCTTTGTAAATAGTGAAATGCATAGGAAAATGGGTTTCTCATAAAAATTGGTAATTCCCTAAAAGGGAATCTGTTATATACCATTTAAGCAACCGCAGCTGGTACAAAATTTGTATAGTTTGTATTTGAATGTTATTCTGAATTTTGAAATGTTTGAAATCTTTCAAAGTCCATATGGATTCATACATGGTTTCATTACGATTTATATTTAGACATCAATAAGGTATCTGCAATCAACTTTACTTCATGATTGTATCACTACATATTCTGAAAGTTATTCTTAAATGATGCAAAGATTTGTAACATGACTCATTAATGGCCTTATTGTGGTGATTGGGTAAATTTGTTAGAATGTGGTAAATATATGGTACATGTTTGTCGATCTGACTTTAGAATATGTGCATGTGTTATGCATGTGATATCATTGTGTATGATGATGATATGATTTTCAGTCATTTTCCCCATATTTTGAGAAGATATCAAGTATCTATGTATATATATATATATATATATATATATATATATATATTTATACAACACCTACGTGGATCCCTGTCATTTGATTGGAGGATTGTTGGTCACATGATATTCAATAGATGGTATATTGCACGGTCGTGCATTTTTGGTTATATGCGCCGTGCATTTTTGGTTATATGCAGACTGCGTACCTCTCTGCCGTGCGCGCGCGTATCCCTGCGTGTATCTGACGCGAAGGCAATCTGAATGTAATCGAGAAGGCTTGAATCCAACTTGAATTTATCTTTAATATAAGGAGTAAAGCATAATTTGTTGATTGTTCTATTAGATCTTCTTCGATGTTGTATAAAACAAATAATGAATGTTTTTCATTCGTTCAATGGTGCGAATATTTTCATTCGTTGAAAGATTAACATTAATTCTATTCAACTCGGCTGACGCCTCGTTGAATAGAATGTTAATCTTTCAACTCATGAAAATATTCGCACTATTGAACTCATAACCATTCATTATTTGTATAATATATATATATATATATATATATATATATATATATGTTCTTCACAGTAAAAAAAAGTATACAGACACAAACATAAACATAATACAATAGGTCAGCACTTTCCTTGGAAGAAAGTCGCTTGTAAAAATGAATTGGTATGTACTTGTAAAGATGCATCTGCAAAATAGAAGGTATTCATAAAATTGTTGAAAATCCCCCTCCCCCTGAATCATAGCTTTAGGATCCAGAGTTAGTGTGTGTATATAGCCTCACTCCCATCAGTTAGTCTAAATATCATATTGAAACTATCTTTGAGACAAGTTTGATTACACTTGCAAGCAAATGCATTGACATGGCTATTTTATATGTAGTAATGATTTTTACATTAAAGGTGCATCTGTCTATACCTTCTGTTGTTTAGTCTTGAACTAAATGTAACTCTACACGTCTAATGTCTTATTATTCTATAGTATGTTCGATTATGATCATTATCATAAAAGAAAATAACCCTTATGATATTTACAATTTTTTTAATATTACAAGAATCACATCAGTACAATAAAGAACAATAGAAAAATTGAAGACGGTCATTAGCGCTTTTAATTCTCTGAAATACTATACATGTATGGGGGAAAGAGTAGAGTATGTGTAATGGATTTTTTTCTCCATTTACTTTCACATTGGAGAGAGAGAAAAGGGGAAATCCTTCCATGATCCGACATAAACTTTCCCACCAAGTGTGAAAAGTCTTTATGTATTGTTGGCATTTGACCTTCTATGGCCATGAAAATAACCAAAGGCACCAAGGGCTCAAGAGTGTGAATTGTTCCCTTTGGCAAGAGTGTGGGAGTAGTTCAACTGTTGGAAAGATATTAACACAAACGTAGAATTCTGTTGTAAAGGAGATCCCAGTGTATAGCAACCAATCGCATTAATTTTGAACACTTCTAATTAAATTGCTCTGTAACAATCATGTTCAGATAATTTTTGTATGGAGATGCATCATAATTTTCATATCTGACATATAATTTGTTGAAAATTTGCCAGGATTTGGTATATCTACACAAGACTCTGGAGATGAATATAATGATATTAAGAAATACCAAGGGATTATATTCATAATTTCTCTGTGTTACATATATTACCCAAAAGTTATACCGGTACTACACAACTTTCCCACTTTGCTAATGTAGAAGCCTGGTACATTGTATAACTTGCACTTTAACAACATGACTTTCGACTATATAGTGTGAAGAAAATGCAACGACCAATATCTCAAATTTTTGTTTCTACATCTATATTAAAGTTTATAACCTTTACGGCGTCTTTTGGAGGAATCCAAGTACCAAGTATAATCAAAGCACACAGAATTCAAATGAGCCATCTATAGTTGTTTTAGATACCAGTTTCCTTTCTGGGTCTGTGATATATTATAATCCTTAGCCAGTCCCACGCTCTGTATACAAACACAGATTGGAAGGCAAACAAAACTTGTACACACACTCAGTCCTGACCAATGGCTTGGCCTATACCTTCCACGATTGTGACATAACCTCAGTTAAAGAATATATAAATCAGAGTTACACTTTGGATCAGAATCATACTGAATAATAGAGCCTTCCATTTGACAATATCACATTTTTAAAAATAATTATTTATTAACCCATGTTCCAGGTCATGGAACTCTTGTGTTGTGGGTATTGTAGGGTCTGACGACTTAGACTATAGCGAGTGGAGGATAACCGAACACCTCAGTGCTCTGCCAATGGGCTCTCTCGAAAGCAGTGCCTCACCTAATATAGATGTTCTCGCTCTCCCAGTACCCCATGCACTCCCACAGGGGATCAGTGGAGAGAGATAGACAGAGAAGGAGATAGAGAGAAAAAGGAGAGATAGAGAGAAGGAAAGGCCAACGTGCTGGTGCTTTGGGTCTCCACTCTCTGCCTCTCAGTAGGGAGCCGAGATCTCAAGTCAGTCGGCGGTGCGTTTGGCTGGCGTGTGGGGCACTAAGCGTGCACATCATTACAAGCCCCGTAGTGCGCTCGCGACTCCAATCAAACACCATAGAAACTCCTATGGCGTCGCGGTAAACCTTCGCAAGAAGGTTTAAAGGAAAAAAATCTGAAGCAACTTATTTTTAATGTTATTTGTTTATTTGTTTATTTTTGTGTGGAGTGATCAACGAAGAAGGGACCAAGCAATTAGTTCTACCGGTTCCTCAAAAAAAGCAGAAAGATAGCAGAAAATATTTGTAGAATTATCATTTGCAAGGAAACAAAGTGAAAAGAAACCGAAAATGTCAGTGAACGAAGGAAAGAAGCCGTTAGCGACTACCACGATCAGCACTGTCGCGGTGCAGAGTGGAAAAGCAAGGATTGTTCTAGCTGTGTTACAAGTAAGTTTTTAAACATTTTGCCTTTATTTCAGCATAGAATGATACAAAACATTGGCCTGTCAATGGGTCAGCTATGTTCCTATGATAGGAGGCAGTGAACAATGTGTATTGATAATCTTATGATCTTCTACTGGCAACATGACGATAGAGTGCAAGTTTTCCTTTTTTATCAGTAGGGAAATTATCACTCAATGTGATAGAACTGGAATTTAGACAAGATATAACATACTCAACATATACCATGAATCCTGCTTCATGTCGTATCCATTGCCAGTCGGACCTTAACAGATATTTTCTCGTGTAAACATGCCAATGTTTCTTCCCTGTTCATGTGAGATTAATTCGTTCACCTGTTGATACATTCCACAAACATACTTATCAAATTGGCAACATTTACATACACAGGTGAGGTAAGAGATTAGAATGATTGTAAATCCAATTTATCATTGACAAGATCGACTTGTTGAATGGATTTTATTAGGATGCAGTTCAGTGTGCATCTTGTTACCTTTCTTCAGATGTGTTATATGGGTCATTCCAGGTCATTGACCTCTAATAACCTCTGGTAGCCTGTAGCCACAGGACTGGTCCTTATTTGGTCTTATTCTTTACATAAACTTGTGATTCTATTCCAAGTGTGAACATCTCATATTTTTATATTGTTAATTATATTTCATTAAATTATGAATATCAAAAGTTTTCATTTACTTG